ATTTATATATCGCTTTATACGCCATTATAAATATAATTATGGTCCCGGTTTTGGAGGAATATCAATATATACATTTATATATCGCTTTATACGCCATTATAAATATAATCGTGGTCTCGGTTTTGAAGGAATATCAATATATACATTTATATATCGCTTTATACGCCATTATAAATATAATCGTGGTCTCGGTTTTGAAGGAATATCAATATATACATTTATATATCGCTTTATACGCTATTATAAATAGAATTACGGTCTCGGTTTTGGAGGAATATCAATATATACATTTATATATCCAATTCCCATACAATCTGAGACAGCTAGTATATAAATAAGCACGTAAAAATTAATACATATATAAATCCATATATACCGTTTGTATACATGTGTGAGTAGATACTCCCTTGCCGTTGAACTGTCAAACGTTTGAAGTCAGTGGCGACATCTAACACAGAACCATATGAACCCGGTAGTCACTACGTAGTTCCCGGAGAACTGGGAACAATTTAACATAGAGGCGCTGCATGAAATCGCCTTAGAAACATTGGAATCTTAGTGGATTCTCATTGGATTCTTTTATACGCTATCACAATCAAATCAAATTCAAAGTCGTTTTATTCAAAACTTTTATATCGGAGTGTATAAAAGTGTTCCCTAGGAAATGTTGTAAATTTTATCTAGTTTCAACCTATCTGACTGAAAAGAGGTGGTTCGATATAAAATTTTTGAGTTATTTGACAAAAACCAAAAAAATGACCCAATTTTTTTATTTATTGAGTGAAATATTATCATATTCAAAGTCGTTTTGTTCAAAACTTTTATATGGGACTATATATATGTTTTGAAGGAATATCAATATATACATTTATATATCGCTTTATACGCCCTTAGATATATAATTATGGTCTCGGCCTAAGAGAAATATCAGTATATAAATTTATATATCCAATTCCCATATAAACTAAAGCAGTAATCCATATATAATGAAAGAAGAATTGATATATAAATCCATGGATGGGTACCCATGAGTTTTGAAAATTGGAAACATTTTTTGATTCCTTCATAATAATAAAGTAATTATATATATTTGTAGTCTAGGTTTAGGAGAAGTATCAATATTTATATTTATATATCCAATTTTCATACAAACTATGGCAGCTAGTACCCAAATAATCATGTATAAATTAATATATAAATATATATTTACATTTTCCTTATATATTAAGGCAGCTAGCAATATATACATCTATATATCCATTTCCCATACAAAAATAAAATAAAATACTTAATAAATTTGCTTGGAGATTTGAACTCGAAACCTAAAGCAAAGGCGATTGCCATTGCAACCGAAGCTATTTAACGATCTGTCCACCTCATCACCGTTAAACAATTGATTGAATTTGGTACATTTGTTAACAATAACTTCACATATTTCCCTCGCCCATTAAAATGTCAAATAAAAATCCCTATGGGATTCGAACCAGTATCCTTCTGATTAGAATCTAGTTTAGCGCTCTAGCCGATTCGGCCACGGCGACCAAGATTTTCGGGCGACTAATACTGGAAGGACATTCTTCGACAACCGACCATCATGAATCAAGTCAATTTCACAGGGGGATGATATGGAAATATTAAATTTTCTCCTAGGGGGTTGAAAGTGGGCTCATTCGATTCCTCGTGCTCTTGCGAATTTCAGGCGGGGGGTTACAGGGGGGAAAATTTTGTCCGTTTTTCGCTCAGGAGACGAGAAAATCGACTTTTTGTAAATTTCACGATTTTTCTATGGGAATTTTTTGAAAACTTTTTGCGTTTTGAAGAAGATTTTGTGCTGACCTCAATGATATGGTCGGGGTCATTTATATGGAGCCCAATCACGTGGTTAAGGACAGGGGATGATGTGATATATGATATAATTGAATATAATAAGTCCAAATAATTTCTAAGTTTTTGCATTATGTTATTAATAATATGAACTATTATTTATGGATTTTTATAACAACTTTTATAGATATTTTCGGATATTTTAGCATAATTTGTAACTATTATTTATATATTATAAGTAGTACATGCATGCATATAGCACGCTTTGAAATTGCTATACTTCTGTCAGGTCTCTCTTTGGAAACCATGCCTCAAGAACCTTTGTGCAGAACCTCATTAGTTGTCTCATCTTGATTTTTTTAATTGCAGACTATCGGAGGTAGTGGTAGGTTAATTTTTTACCGATTAAAAAAAATTCACACACCTCTTTATTCCTTTTATTCGCCGAATAAAAATCCCCTTCTGCATCCTTCGGATTCGAACCAGCATCCTTCAAACTAGAGCCTAGTATAGCGCTCTAACCGATTCGGCCACGGCGACCAAGATTTTCGTACGGCTTATACCGGAAGGACATTCTTCGACGACCGACCATCATGATTCGAGTCAAGGTCACAGGGGGATGATATGGAAAAATTAAATATTTACCTAGGGGGTTGAAAGTGGGCTCATTCGATTCTGTCGTTCCTTGCGAACTTCAAGCGGGGGGTTACAGGGGGGAAAATTTTGTCCGTTTTTCGCTCAGGAGAGCAGAAAATCGACTTTTTGTAAATTTCGCGTTTTTTATATGGGAATTTTTTGAAAACTTTTTGCATTGGTCGTATCAGTTCTTGGTGTAGTGGTTAGAGTCTCCTCATTGGTCGTCGCATCTTGGCTCTTGTGATTGCGGATTCTCGGTAGTAGATGGAAGGTAAGTCATAGTGTTATAGTAATCGTCAAAAGCATGATGTTTTTTGTAAACTGTAATTTTTAGATATTTTTGTGTGTATACCTCTTAAATTTATAATAATTCATTTGAAATCATTTAAAATTCCATTTAATATATTTTATTACGGTGGGAAGTTCTAGCAATTTGCCTTAAGGCAAGATGCCATACATCGAATTTGGTATAATGATGGGAAAAGCAATATATAAATTTATATATTCATTTCACAATCCAATTAAGGCGACTAAGTCATATATAGTGATAAAAAAAATCGATTTATGCAATTAAAAAAATATGCAAGTCAAGTAAAATATGTTTGAAAAATCCGTGGATAATATATACATTTATATATCGTTTTATACTCGATTATAAATATAATTATGGTCCTGGCTTGGGAAAAATATCAATATATACATTTATATATCCAATTACCATATAATATAAGACAGCTGGCATGTATATATAATGTTTAAATCGATGTATACATGTATATATCCAATTCCTATACAAACCGAGACAGCTAGTATATATACAATCGTGTATAAATTAATATATACATTTATATATCCAATTCCCATATAATATAAGACAGCTAGCATGTATATATAATCATGTATAAATCGATATACATTTATATATACAATTCCCATACAATTTGAGACAGCTAGTATATATATAATCATGTATAAATCAATATATACATTTATATATACAATTCTCATGCAAACTAAAACAGCTAGGTCATATATAATCATGTATAAATCAATATACACATTTATATATCCAATTCCCATACAAACCGAGACAGCTAGTATATATATAATCATGTATAAATCAATATATACATTTATATATCCAATTCCCATACAAACTGAGACTGCTAGTATATATATAATCATGTATGATTCAATATATACATTTATATATCCAATTCCCATACAAACCGAGACAGCTAGTATGTATACGAGGTGTGTTCAAAAAGTACCCGGAATTACTATTAATTAAATTTCGCGGGTCTGGAGTGTCTGATTGTCAAAATTTTTTTTTTATTGTGTTGGTATACATGCCCCTAAAGTATGATGAAATTTTCAGCTATATTCACTGTTTACTTTGTCTGTGGTAGTCGCTAAGGTTCGACGTGTTTTTCTGAGCTCGGCGATTTTTACAATGGAAGAATTGAAAAGTCAAAGAATTTGTATTAAATTTTGCGTAAAAAATGAAATAAAGTGTTGCAATGTGCAAAAATTCACCAGATATGGCTCCGTGTGACTTTTTCCTATTCCCAAAGTTGAAGAGACCCATGAAAGGACGGCGGTTTTCCTCGATTGAAGAAAATCGCTGAGAGTGCTCAAGGACATATCAAAAAGTGAATATCAAGGGTGCTTCGAAAATTGGAAAAAACGCTGGCATAAGTGTATTATATCTGGGGGGACTACTTTGAAGGGGACCACATTAATGTAGACGAATAAATAAATATTTTTTTGAAAAAACGAAAATTCCGGGTACTTTTTGAACAGACCTCGTATAATCATGTATAAATCCATATATACATGTATATTTCCAATTTCCATACAAACTGAGACAGCTAGTATATGTATAATCATGTACAAATCAATATATACATTTATATATCCAATTTCCATACAAACTGAGACAGCTAGTATATATATAATCATGTACAAATTAATGTATACATTTATATATCCAACTCCCATACAAACTGAGACAGCTAGTATGTATATAATCATGTATAAATCAATTTATCAAATCAAAGTCATTTTATTCAAAACTTTTATATCGAACTGTATTCACGTGTTTGTATGGATATTTAGCAACTTTTATATAGTTTCATCCTATCTAACTGAAAAGGGGTAGTTCTATATGAAATTTTTGAGTTATTTGACAAAAACCAAAAAAATGGCCCAAATTTCCTATATTTATTGCTTAAGAATGAAATATTGAATTCAAAGTCGTTTTATGCAAAACTTTTATATCGGAGTGTATAAAATGCTAGGAAATGTAAATTTTATCTAGTTTCTCCCTGTCTAACCGAAAAAGTGTGCTCGCATATAAAATTTGTGAGTTATTTGACAAAAACCCAAATTTCTCCATTATTTATAATAAATCTTTTTTTAAATCATGTTTAAAAATGGCGCTTTTGTCTTCGGATGCGCATTTGACCTGAAGTTATTTGCGTCTCGCGGTCAGCGTTGTTTTGACGTTTGCCAGACGTCATTTCATACAAACTCTGAGTAATGCAATGTAATGTAATCGATGTAAACATTAAATAATTGTGAAAAATTAATTATTAAATATTAGTTAAGTTATTAAATATTAGTTAATATGGCTCAAAGTGCGGCCAGTTCCAGCTCTTCCAGGCGAACTGGAAGAGACCACGAGGGCCCTCCTGGCGGCGCTCAGAGATTTCCTGACACTGAATGGGAGGCAAAAGAGGTTAGGTTGAAAAAATAATAGAAAATTATAATAGAATGTTTAATTGGGTTGAATTAGTATTGGTATTAATATTATAAGTAGTTTGTGGAGGAATTTTATATAATTTGGACTGTAATTTTTGTTTATTTTTAACAAATATAGGTGGATCTTTAACATTTTGACAGGTGCTCCTTTTTGGTTACTTCTTTAAATATTTTTTTAAATTTATACTAACAACTAAATAAGATTGTTTTCCAAATTTCAATGCATATTTTGCAGGCATAATGTAATAATTAATACACATTATTTTGTATTAATAAAAGGACAATTTGCACAAATTGTAACAAGAGGTGCCTCGAACCAAAATGGGGATGTCAAGAAGGTTAGGTTACAAAATCTCAAATGAAAATTATTATAAAATGGTAAAATGTGTTAATTTGGATTAGTATTAATATTGCAAATAATTTGGATCGTTTGGGCGAAGGAATTTTATATATTCAATATAATTTTTGTTTATTTTTAACAAATTTAAGTGCATCGGTAGGATTTTTGGTTGCTTTCTTAAATATTTACCTTAATAACTGATTAAGTTGTTTTTTACATTTTAATGCATGTTTTGAAAATGAAGTGCAAATAATGTACGTTATTTATTATTTAGAATTTTACAATTTGCACAAAGTGTAACAAGAGGTTTCTCGAACCAAAATGGGGATGTCAAAGAGGTTAGGTTACAAAATTTCAAATAAAAATTATAATAAAATGGTAAATTTTGGCAAATTAGCTTAGTATTAATATTACAAGCAGTTTGTGAAGAAATTTTATATAATTTGGACTATAATTTTTGTATATTTATATTAAATTTAAGTGCATTGGTAAGGATTATTACAAGTGCACCTTTTTGGTTGCTTCCTTAAATATTTACATTAATAACTAAATAAGATGTTTTCTAGATTTTAATGCATGTTATGAAGATGAAGTGCAAATGTAGTATATTTTATTATTAATTACAAACCCACAATTTCAACAGATTCTAACAAGAGGTTTCTCGAATCATTTTTTTTTTAAATTTGTTTATTTTTTTGTTTTTTTATTTTTTAATTTTTTTCTTTATTATTTATTTATTTTTTTATTTTTTGTTTTTTTCTTTTATTTTTTTTTTTTTTATTTTTTATTTTTTCTTTCATTTTTTTATTTTTTTTTGTTTTTTATTTTTTTAAATGGGTTTGTAAAAGAGGTCAGATTGTAATGTAATATAAAAATAGTATTAATTTAAAAAATTACTTAAATTTGAGTTGTATTAATATTTCTAGTGCTTTATGCTGGAATTTGAGATCAGATGTGTTGTAATTTTTATTTATTTATAATACAATTATTGAAGAAATTGTAACCAAAGATTTCTCGAAACAAAATGGATAGTAAAGAATGTTAGGATGGAAAATAGAAAAAGCCTTCAATGGAATATATAATAGAAAGATGAACCAAACTAAATTTGAATAGTATTATGTTTTTGTTATATGTTGGAATCATTTAAACTGCAATTTTAATTTATTTATACCAAATATAGATGCTTCAGTAATATATTGCTTAAAAATATATGTATGTACTTCGATAAATATATAAAAATTTATCAAAAAATTCCAATTTAAAATTCAAACATGTATTAAAAATGTATACATTATTTTAATAATGTGTATATATTATTTATTAATTTCAAATCCACAATTTGCAAATATCAATTGACTTAAAATGGGATGTAAAAGAGGTTAGGTTAAAAATTTAAAGTGGTATTTTATAGAAAATACCAAAGCGCTAAAGACAAATTAAATCAAATTTGAATAATATCATAAATTAATTTTTTTTTTCATTATTTGGATCATAATTTTATATATTTATGACAAATAAAGGTGCTCCGGTAGCACTTTGAAAGTTACGGATTTTGTTTGCTTATTTAAATATATATTAAATATGTATTTATTTAAAAAAAAAAACGTACACATGTACATTTTTTATAATATTTATAAATAGATTGATAAATATCTTACTATCTTATTACCAGCACAGCTACTTTATAGTATGTACTTTTTATTTGAATTGTGTTCTATATCCAATGTTTTTTAACCCTTAATCAGTTGTATGTTTTTTTTACAGTCTCATCGACAGAGGGAATTGGAAGAAGCCAGGGCCAGGACAGCCCAGATGGAAAAAACTATGAGATGGTGGTCTGATTGTACAGCAAATTGGAGAGAAAAATGGAGCAAGGTATAAAATACTAACACATAGTTTGTTTATATAGCATAATTATTTTTTCATTATTTTTTCAGGTTCGAAATGAAAGAAACAAAGCAATCGAAGAAACTAAAGCACTAAAAGCCAAATTAGAAGAAGCTCTAAAAGACACAAATACGATAAAAAGGGATAAAAATGAGCTGGAGCAGCAGATAAATTTGTTGAAGAAAGAATTAGAAAGTATGCAGATAGGTGGTACTAAAACAGGGAACAAGTATGATAACCATTTGTTGGATGCATTGGAAAGCGATCTTATTTGCGATTTAGGTACCTATTTATATATATTTTTTGAATGTCAACATGTATAGACGGAGAGCTTGTTGTTAAATTATTCAAAAATCTAAAATGAAATTTTTTATATATCTTTACGTTTCAAAGATTTCTAAGTATTTTGGCATACTTAAGAAAAAATGGATGTTTGTGTGTGTGTGTGTGTGCGGATACAAATTTTCGTCGACGATTTCGGAAACACGGTTTAACCGATTTGAATAATTCAAAAAACATTCAATTCGCATTACTAAGGAGACGTGCTGATTAGTTTTTGGCGAAGGCAGGTCTAGCTGTTCCGAAGATACGGGGCAGAAAGTACCAAAAACGGTAACTCAGTTTTTAAGAGTATGGAGCGTCCGATTTTAATAATTAAAAAAACATTCCGATCTCCGAAACCGCCAAACATGCCTTCTCAAAAATACAATAAGTTCTTCATAAATAATGTTTTTTGAATTATTCAAATCGGGCGTTGCGTCTCTTTACTGTTTTTTAGCATTTTTTGCCTCGTATCTGCGTAACGGCTGGACCTGCCTTTGCCAAAAATTAATCAGCACATCTCCTTATCAACAGGAAACGAAAGTCATTTGAATTATTCAAATCGGTTAATCCGTGTTCTCGAAATTGTCGTCAAGAAATTGTATCCGCACATACATATATACACCATCTATTTTTAACTTTCCGATGGAGTTTTTTTTTTTCATCAAACAATCCGATTCGCTAATGTTATGTCTTCCCGACGATTCAAGCCATTCTGAATCGAATGAGACCAAGTTTGGAAAAAGTATATGTGTGTGTGCGTGTGTGTGAACAGATTTTTTGCCGTAAATCGACGTTTTCTCAAAAAACGGCTGGACCGATTTTAAAAATTTAAAAGCCATTCGATGTATCGCCATGAGGACTAGCGTTTTGTGCGACGATCTGCCGAACCGTTTCTTTGTAAATCGCGAAAAAGTGAAAAAAAATTAGTTCACGTTTTAGCCCGCAGTTTTGAATCGATGTTGAAAATTCAAAAACCGTTCGAAAAATATTGGTTGGGAATCGTGCTGATTAGTTTTTGATTTAGTTTTCGACGATTTTTAGCATTATTTTTTTGACGGTAGATACCATAGTCTTACAGATCATACTAAAATATTACGTTCCTACGACAACTCTTTTAACTCTAAAAATTCGTCAAAGTTTGCAAAAATTAGTATCGTTTTTTGGCATTTGCCAAAATTAGACCTTTGATCGATGTTTGCTCAAAAACGCTTGAACCGATTTCAGAAATTTAAAAGCCATTTGATGTATCTCACTGAGGACTATCGTTTGTCAGTTTTGTGCGACGATCGGCCGAGACGTTTCTTTGTAATTTGAAAAAAAGTGTTAAACTTTTCGTCCACATTTAAGCTCATATTACCGAATCGATTTTAAAAAATCAAAAACTGTTCGAAAGATATTAGTTGGGAATGATACTGATTAGTTTTAGGTGAAAATCTACGGAGCCGTTTTCTTGTAATTAACTGTTAAAAAAAATTAAGCCGATTTTCATGGAACTTTTTTTTGCGATATATATCATGGTTTTATAGAACTTACTGAAATATTGCGGCCTGACGACAAGTAGTTTAATTTTAAAAATTAAAAAAGTCATACGGAAACTGATTCTATAATAAAAATTATTGATTTTTGAAAATTTGCTTTTAGAAAATACTCCGAGTTAACGTGTTTGTTTGCTTTCAATTATGTGTAATAAATCCACTTGGAGTACTTTTAATCACTCATAAAATAATTTATTTTTTATTGATTAAGTCGATTATTTACACATATCGGGAGTTCATGTAACTTGCCTCAAGGCAAAATACCAGTACCAACTAGTTTCCAAGGTATTCCAAAATGATCCGAAATCTTTCGAAACGTAAAGATAAGTAAAAAAAAATATTCTCTATACTTTACCGTACTGAAAGTTAATTAAACTCGTATGTATTATTTATAGTATTATATTATATATGTATTTTTTATAGTGCTCTATTTACTTTATACTAGCTCTGTTTCTAATGTCTCATTGTCCTAAATATTCACACTCGGTCTATTAAAAATTGGAACTCTGCCAAATTTTACATAAAGGTCAATCTTGTTTGTTATTGTACGTATCTAATAGTATATTGTTCATTTCTAATAGTATCTGTATTTTCCTGATATAATTCAGCACAGAGCAATGCAAGGCCAAACATTTCACAACTAGAATTCGAAATGATAAACAACGACAATGGACATGAAAATAACGTCGAGTTAAATGGATCGTCGGCTGGTCCATCTGTGATGAATTTTAAGAACAAAAATTGCAGGAGTAAGAATCAGACTGACGAGTACATTCTACAGGTAATAAATATATTGAAAACTATGTTTTATTTATTTTACTAATCATTGTATCCTTTGTTTCAAGAGTGGACTTACGAAACATGGTGTTGAGCTTTTTAAGGATGGAGCTCATTCAGAGATATCAGAAAAAATGGATTCGATGGAGAAGAAAATGAATTTTTTGAAGACACAATTAGAGGATGCGTTGACAAAACTCGACACCGAAAAAGAGTATGTTTTTAGCAGTTTTAATATATATATATATATATATATATATACAGTAGAATCCGCTTAGTATGACATCGAAGGGACGCCGAAATCTCGTCATACTAACCGGTCGTCATACAAAGCATACTGAAGAAAAACTATTTTAATATGTGAATATGTTACATGTTTCAGTAATTTAAAAAAAAAGCCTATACATACATTTTATTTAAAAATAAAAATGACACATATTAATATTTAATATAAAATATAATTGACATAGGGTAGGGCGGGGCACAAAGGTCCAATTTGACTTTCAATTCTGTGAGTACATTTGTTACAAAGATAACAGTGTATATTACATTGATCTGCTATTGGTTACAAATATTCATCAGGAGAGCCGGAATAACAATTTATTTAATTAATCTCTTGTAAAATTGCTTTTTTTAAAACTTTACTACTTTATTGCATACACTTTTGCCAAAGTAAAGGTTCAGCCGGTCCTTTTTATCCCACTCATGTGCTGCTTATCTTCTGATAGCAAAGTCATAAGAATAAAGGTGATGGCTGGTTATGATTTTATTACATTTATGATGGCTGGTTATGATTTTGATACATTTTTTGGCCTCTGCTATCAAATATTTATGTTAAAAAAAATCTAATTTTATTTGTTCACGAGATATCCGTAGTGCACCATTAATAATTGGTCTACCCTACCCATAAACATACAAATGTGATTTTTTAATGTAAGTAATCAGTAATTTTTTATTCATCTCTTTACATAATTTTATTGTAAAATGTCCCTGGTGCTATTGTGCACAAAATACATAGCAATTGCTTTCGTAGACTTGGCCACATCATGTAAAATAATGTCGGTCATTATAATTGGACATAATATTTTTGCAAAAATGAGTCATTATAAGCGACATGTCAATGTAAGCGATGTCAATATATCGGACTAGACAGCTGTTTTTTTCAAAGAATTTTATATGGAAACCAAGCTTCCTAGTGCGATTACGTCATTATAAGCGGTTGTCAATATATCCAGCGTCATACCAATCGGATTCTACTGTATATATAAAATTCTTCTGTAATGATGTATGAGAGGATATTACTCCTAAACGATTATTCGGATTTTGATAAATCTTTTTGAAGTTTGTTAAGGAAATTTTTTATGATTTTATGGTTATAAAGATATAGTAAGATTGTAAAAATAAATGGAAAAAATTACACAAAAACGCTTATCAGTGTTTGAAATTGAAAATATTTGAGGTGTTGTTTGGCATTGAAAACGAATGAAAACTATCATCTGCCAAAAATTTCAATTTACTCATAACTTTAGAATATGTATAATAAATTCATGATTATGAATAAGAAATTACCTTTAAAATAGTATATTACAAGTTTCGATAAAATCAAATTAAAAGAGTTTTAATCCAATTAATGCGGGGGTGTTGACAGAGTACAAATTGTTTTCACTTCTGAACTTAAGATTAAGATTAGCCTATTTCCAAAATATCATGCAAATTGGAGCACAGTAAAAGAAAATCACAGGTTACACCCTTGTTTCTTCTCCATTTACTGCACTAATTTTGTTGATCGTAGATTGAATAGAGCACACGTGAACAGGATTTGACAAATTAATTCATTAAAATATGAGCTTAAGTAATAATGTATATTGAATTATTAGTGAGAAAAATGTAATTTAGATATTATTGCTGAAAACAATTAATATATAGTACGAGATTATAAAAATTATGGGCAACATTATTGAAGCAATTATTTTGAGTCAAAAAATACAAGGTGATATTGTACCTTTACCGCGAATACTATGTATTAATTCTTTCTGAATTTGTTTAATAGACGGCATTTTGAAAAATTAGTCGATTACTTAAATGATTATTATGAAATAGAAATTTTCGGTGGGAAGGTGAAAATTTAGGGTTGTATGTTTTTTTTAATTAATAATTATAACTAGTGGTGTATGGCATCGTGCCTTAAGGCAAATTGCTGGAACTTTTCGTACCGTAATGAAATATTCGAGAAATTTTAAACGTTTTCAAATATATTATTACAAATACTGTAACTTTTATTATTTTTGTTATCTTGTTATATCTGAGCAAATCGAATGTAAATCATAAATCAATTCAATTTATCTCCAGAACATTAACAATCGTCATTTAATTTCGAATTAAATTCAAAAAAAAAAAATAGTTGCCTAATTTACACAAAATTGAAAAAGTGCTCCTGTATAGCACAGTCTAAACGCATTTGCAAATAATTCTGTGCGACATTTTCACTTATACACAAAATTTGAAAAGTGCCCCAGTACATAAACAGTCTAAACGCACTTGAGTAAACATTTGTACCAGAGTGGCGCTTAGACTGTGCTTAGCCTGGGTAATTTTTTGAATTTTCAATCCAAAATTACAAAAATAATTTATGGAAAATAAAAAGAGATGTAATAATTTTTTATCCTCAAAAGCAATTGTTTTGTCAATACAAGCAGAAAGTTTTTTAGATCAGTCAAATCGGACGCTTAGTTCACTCAAAAACTGCCATTTTTTGCACATTTAGCTCTGTATCTTCGAAATGGCGGGACCTGTTTTTGCCAAAAACTAATCACCTCTTTTCCCAATCATTATAAATTGAATGTTTTTTAGATCATTCAAATCCGATACTCCGTTCTCTCAAAAACTCGATTTGTATTTTCTGCACTCGTTGCTCCGTATCTCCGTAACGCCTGGACCTGCCTTCGCCAAAAACTAATCAGCATATCTATCTATCAATAGGGATCGAATTGTTTTTAAACCATTCAAATCGGTTGATCCGTGCGCCCGAAAACGTGGACGAAAAAATGCGGACATACAAAACGCACACACACACACACACATCCGTTTTTTCTGAGGTATGCCAAAATGTTCAGAAACCTTCAAAACGTCGAGAAATGCAAAAATTTTCATTTTAGATTTTCGGCCCATTACTATAACTACCCTACAGGAAGTAGGGTAAAAAAATCCGGAAATTGGCGAAAAAATAAAAAAAAACTTAAGGGTTATGTAAGAATTATTGGTCGATTAGTCCAAATTTTAAAACTTCTGCATTTTAAAATTATCCTAATCCAACATCGATGTCGCAATCTATTTTGTCGATATGTTCTCTTAAGAATAATCACACTATATAAGTTTTTCACAAAAACTTATCATTTATTTTTTTAGAGAGAAATTCACATTACAAGAAACGATAGCTACATTGACCCAAGAAGTTTCAGAATTGAGATCCCAATGTGAACATCTCACCAGTGATAAAATGAGTTTGGAAAGAGATTCTGTCGGTTTCAAAGAACAATTAAGAATACTAAAAGCAGCTTTAACAGACGAAACTTCCATAAAAGAGGCACTGACTAGAAGACAATTACATTTAAGAAACGAAGTAAGCATAAAATATTAAGTTACATCTATAAAATTAATTCATTTTATTTTAAATGACAATTATTATTTTACAGTTGGATAGGATACATTCAGAGCATGATATAGAATGGTGGAGGCGAGAACGGTGTGAAACTCAAAAAAATGCTTTGGAAAGAGAAAATGGCTCGTTGAGAGCTGAATTGGAGGAACTGCAAAGCGTTTTAGCCATCAGGGATCATGGTGGTGCAAAATATAAAAATCTGCAAGCCAAGGATCAGGAAATATTGGATTTGAGGAAGGAATTGGCGCAGAAAACAAAGGTAAGTATATATATACACATATATATATATATATATATATATATTATTTATTATTATTATAGGAATTAGCTGACCTTAAACATATGCATGGAAAATTGAAAAATTGCTACCACGACACACTGACTTCTGTTTCTCAAGCTCAAAGCCGGTCTGACCAGTATGAAAATGAAATTAAAAAATTGAGAGGAAGAATAGATGAACTAAAGGTAATATCATATAAAAAAATTACTATTAATTTCAGTAAGTTTTTTTAACTTTTTTTTTTCATTTTTATTTCTAGCAAGAACTATACAATGCTGAACGAGAAGTAGAAAGCGCCACAAATAATATTAGGAGACTTCACAGAACAAATGAAGAACTGCAGGCGCAAATTGGAGTTTTTCAGACTCAGATGGATCAATTGCACAATAGGTAAATATATATATATATATATATATATATATATATATATATATACTAGATGATCCGACAGCCTTTGTCCTGTACGCACATCTACAATTCAAAAGTTCCAAGTTTTTTAATATCCTATCCTATACTTTTTAATATCCCATTTGATATTCTGCCTTTGTGATTCATTTATGGTATTAGCATAAGCAGTATAAGAAATTCAGAAAAAAATAATACAGTATCTGCCGTAAAACAACAATATTACACTTGATTTTACCACACAACATAATTGCTTCAATAATTTAGTCTATAATTTTCATAATCTCGTACGATATATTAGTTGCTCTTTGGCAATTATAATTTCTAAAGTACATTTTTCTTGCTAATAATTTATTAAACATTATTGTTTATGTTTAAATCTTATGTGAATCAATTTGTAAAATCTAGTTCATATGTGCACTATTCAATCTAAGATCAACTTGCTAAATATTCCACATCCAATGCCAAATAAATGATTTTTTGTTACTTGAAACAAAATTCTAAATCATTTTTTTAATAAGTAGAAATATTTTTTTGTAATGGTAAATAATTTAGTAAAGTAAACCAAAATACGACATGCATAATAAAAAAATAATGTATACCTAATTTTGGACTTGTTGCGTTATTTATTAAACTGAACTATATAATTTCATCTGCCAAATATATACTGTTGACTGTATCTCATATTATTTTAATTTCTGGTACATCTCAGCTGCTTTTCGGCAATAATAATGCAGGCATTACATTTTTCTCATTTATTATATTCTAATATTATCTAGGCTCATAAGATTCAGCTTAATTCAAATATCAAGTGAATTGACATTTCTAGCAAATATTTTCAATGTCAAACAATGATAAGTGGTTTTTTGTAATTTTTGACATTTATTTCTACAATATTACTATAGTTTCAGCGTTTATTAAATCTTAAAAATTTCCTTTGACAAATTCTAAAAAGAATTATCAAAACCCGAATGACCGTTTAGGAGAAGTACCAAATCATACACCTGTATAGAAGAATTTTATATATAAGATATATGGATTTATTTATATGTTTATTTAATGTGAATACTAAATTTTTGTTCTAGATTGCAAAGCTGTGATTCCCCAAGTTTGTTGTCAATAAGAGGACCTCCGGAAGAGGCATCTGAAAGTGAAACTGATTAAAAGGTTCCATCATAATCGGTAGAGACGTGTTTAAATAGGAAACAAAATACTCTGGTGAATTACTTACGTTATTTGGTATGTGCAAAAACATATATTTTATGACTATCTTTAATTTAATTTTATATAGGTATGAATAATTTTTATATATGTGATATAATTTTTAAATCTAAGTTATTTTTAACTATATATATATATATATATATATATATATATATATACCTATCTGTATGAATGATACCTCAAAGACTTTTATGAAATATTTTTAATCGGTCTGAAACGTACATCTTAGAATAAAGGTGATTTAGGTACCGATTCTGCCTCATAACAGACCAATGTTATGGCAAGGCCATGTTACCATACATTATGCTACTGAATAATACTGAATACTGTCAAAATCATGTCTTTGCTGTGCATTCAGACGTTTTAGACATAAACTGCAACGTCACCCGTATGTTATGAACCTGAGTCAGAAAGACCCTGTTATCTAACACCGTTTTTCGATATTTATGCGGTTTTTAGGTACGGTTTGCTATCTAACAACCTGAGAAAAACGCCTGACTGCACAATAACGACATGGCTTTTGTCAATATTTAGTATGGAAAGTTTTTTATAACATAGCCTTGCCATAACATTGGTCTGTTCAGAGTCGGTTCCTTAATTTTAGAAGTATGAAAATTATGATTGATCGCCCTAAATATCTGGAACTCACAATAAGAATTTCAGATTTATTCTTACTATCTTCTCTATCACCATGCAAAGTTTCATATAAATCCCAGATGACTAATTTGACCTTTTTCTCTGTTATGCTTAAATATAAAACTATAGTATTATAATTATCAAATCTAAATTAAAATCAAGTTTTGTAATTTGTATTATTTTCTACAAATAATACTCTGATCAGATTTGATAATGTAAATGTGTACGTCCATTTAAGAAAATGTATTATATATAAATAAATATAAATAAATAATTTAAAGTTAAACTAGGTAGTAAAATAAGTTGCAGGTTTAATTTTCAGATAATTTATTAAAAAGCTAAATATACAATTTTTATTAAAAGTGTCCTTAGGCAAATTAAAGATAATTAAATTATAAGCAATTTAATGCAACAAAAATTTATTTTAAATTCAGCTTAACAAATATGTTTATTTTACATTAATTTTCATCGCTTTCTGACTATGATGTGCCATGTGTCTCTTTAAATCCTTCGATTGTATTGTATTCATGACTGCGAGGAGTCATGAACCATCATGTGTTTTTTCAGACTATATGTTCTTTGAAATTTCTTATTGCATATGCTGCATTCATAGGGGCGTTCACCATTGTGAATGAGCATGTGACTTTTCAGATTGCTTAAGTTTGTGAATTTCTTATTTCATATGTTGCATTCATATGGGCGTACACCGCTGTGCATTAACATGTGTTGTTTCAGGTGACTTGCTCGTTTGAATCGTTTCTTGCATACATTGCATTCGTGAGGACGTTCACCACTGTGAATGAGCATGTGATTTTTCAAACTGCCCAATTGAGTGAATGTTTTATTGCATATGTTGCATTCGTGAGGACGTTCACCACTGTGAACAAGCATGTGTTGTTTCAGATGATCTTCTAGTTGGAATCGTTTCTTGCATACATTGCATTCGTGAGGACGTTCACCACTGTGAATGACCATGTGTTTTTTCAGACTACCTTTTCCTGTAAATGTCTTATTGCATATGTTGCATTCATGGGGGCGCTCACCACTGTGAACAAGCATGTGACTTTTCAGATAATCTAAATGCGTGAATGCCTTATTGCAAATATTACATTCATATGGGCGTACACCACTGTGTATCAGCATGTGTTTTTTCAGATGACTTGCTCGTTGGAATTGTTTCTTGCATACATTGCATTCGTGAGTACGTTCACCACTGTGAACGAGCATGTGTTGTTTCAGATTGCTTGAGTCTGTGAATTTCTTATTGCATGTGTTGCATTCATGGGGACGCTCACCACTGTGAACGAGCATGTGACGTTTCAGATTATTTAATTGTGTGAATGTGTTATTGCATATGTTGCATTCGTGAGGACGTTCACCACCGTGAATGAGCATGTGACTTTTCAAACTACGCAATTGTGTGAATGTGTTATTGCATATATTACATTCATACGGACGTGCACCACTGTGTATCAGCATGTGTTGTTTCAGATAACTTACTACTTGGAATTGTTTCTTGCATACATTGCATTCATGAGGACGTTCACCACTGTGAATGAGCATGTGACTTTTCAGATTGCTTAAGATTGCGAATTTCTTATTGCATATGTTGCATTCATGGGGACGCTCACCACTGTGAACAAGCATGTGACTTTTCAGATGACCTAATTGTGTGAATGTGTTATTGCAAATATTACATTCATATGGGCGTACACCACTGTGTATCAGCATGTGTTTTTTCAGATGACTTGCTCGTTGGAATTGTTTCTTGCATACATTGCATTCGTGAGTACGTTCACCACTGTGAATGAGCATGTGACTTTTCAAACTGCCCAATTGTGTGAATGTTTTATTGCAAATATTACATTCATATGGATGTACATCCCTGTGCGTCAACATGTGTTGTTTCAGATGACTTCCTAGTTGGAATCGTTTCTTGCATACATTGCATTCGTGAGGACGTTCACCACTGTGAATGAGCATGTGTCTCTTCAGATGAGATAAATGTTTAAATGTCTTATTGCATATGTTGCATTCATTGGGACGCTCACTACTGTGAACAAGCATGTGACTTTTCAGATGACCTAATTGTGTGAATGTGTTATTGCATATATTACATTCATATTGGCGTACACCACTGTGTATCAGCATGTGTTTTTTCAGATAATCTACTAGTTGGAATTGTTTCTTGCATACATTGCATTCGTGGGGACGTTCACCACTGTGAATGACCATGTGTCTCTTTAGATGACCTAATTGTGTGAATGTCTTATTGCATATCTCACATTCATAAAGATGCTCTCTCCTGCGTTTATTATTAAATGTCTTATTGCCTATTTCAAATTTGAAAGATCTTTTACCCGGATGTTTATTCATGTGTGTTTGCAACTTTTTAGATTGTTTGAAAATCTTATGACAGACTTCACATTTGAAGGGACCTTCTTCGCTGTGATTAATCATATGCTTTGTTAAATGATGTGATTCTGTAAATGATTGATTACAAATGTCACATTCATAAGACTCCTGTTTGACTTCATCTTCAATTGTCACCTCGGAATCCATAAATCTTTCTAAACACGTATCATAATTTTCAGAAAACGATTCAGATTTAACAATAGCATCGATGGCATCAAATTTGTCCTCATTTTCGCATTTAACATCTTCTACTGGATATTCGGGTGGCTCAATTTTGATTGGATGTTCATTCGTAGACATAATCATTTCTTCTGACATTTTGAAATATTTTCAACGCCAACAGCTAGTAAATATTTACGAAAATAAATGTGTCCTATACAATAATAATTATAAACTAAATTAATCAGTAAATGATTTCAACTACCTTCATCGTTTGACATTTCAAGCATAGATGCATAGAGCATGTTTATAGAAAGATGAGACATTTTTCCAAACGCTTTGATATTTAACAAATGGCGCGTCTTTTGAAATTCACCATGGTTCTTTACGTGTCTCTTTAAATGTTTTTTGTTAATTAAGCTTCAAATAATTAAATTATTTAAAATGTACGACTTATCTTAAAAGTATCTCTAGACGAGGTAAAGATAAACAAATTATCTACATTCCAGTCTTATATTATAATGACCTACAAAAATTTTTCATAATATTAAACCTCTCATAAACTTTGTTGAAGCGATTTCCTGTACAACCTGTGCATTTTTCTAGATTATGCTTAATATATCTGAAAATCTAAAAATTATCTTAAAAGTCTTTTCAGATGAGATAAAGATAAATAAATTATCTCTAACTTTTTCTTATTTCTTATTATTTAATTTATCTTATTTCTATAATTACCTAGAAATCCTTTTTATATTTTTAAACCTCTTTTTCTTGAGCCATTTTCATCAACATGTAGATACATTTTTTATATTATGCATAATACATCATACATTACTAATTACAGACCGATATCATTATTATCAAACTTTGCTAAGGTATTTGAAAAAATTATTTATAGAGAACTAATTCCTTCTGCTAGAACTTTAATTTCTATTAATCAACATGGTTTCATGCCTGCCCGTTCTACGATAACAAATTTAATTTGTATTAAACAATATATAGCTGAGAATCTTGACATCAATGGACAAGTTGACGTTATTTACACTGATTGAAAGAATTTTTTGAAAGATTAGAAAAGCAAACTTAGTTTTTTGGAGAATTTTGAATCTATTTTTTTGAAAATCTTGAAAACATTTGAATAATTTGAATATTGAAAAAATTGCCTTCTTCAAAAGTTACGAAATTATCTAAATAATTGAACATTTTTGAAAATACTGATTTTTTTTGAAACTTGAAATATTTTTTGCCTCAAAGTAAATTGCTGGAACTTTCCGTACAGTAATTCAAACTATTTCGGAAGCTCAGAAAAGAAAAATTAGTTTTTCTGGATCTCCAAAACGGCTAAACATGCCTTTACAAAAATTTAATCAATTTATCATTACGCCAATACAAGTGAATCATTCAAATCGGATGCCCCATTCTCTCAAAAACTTTTTTTTTCATTTTTTGCACTTTTTGCTCCGTATCTCTAAAATTGGTGAACCTGCCTTTCCCAAAAACTAAGTGGCATCGTGCTTTACGGCAAGTTGCACTTCTAGAAATTAGTAAATAAACGACTTAATCAATACGAATCGACATTTAATCAATTTTAAAATTATTATTTCAAATTTTGATGAATTTTTTTATAAGCTTTTTTCTTCACTTCTCATTAGATGAGAAGTGAAGAAGAAAGCTTTCTTCTTCACTTAGATTTGATAATGATAATGTAAATGTCCATTTGAGAAAATGTATTATATATAAATAATTTAAAATTAAACTAGGTAGTAAAATAAGTATAATAAGTTGCAGGTTTAATTTTCAAATAATTTATTAAAAAGCTAAATATACAGTTTTTATTAAAAGTGTCCTTAGGCAAATTAAAGATAATTAAATTATGAGCAATTTAATGCAACAAAAATTTATTTTGAATTCAATTTAACAAATATGTTTTTTTTACATTAATTTTCATCACTATGAACTGCCATGTGACTCTTCAAATCATTCGATTGAGCAAATCCCTTATTGCATATATCACATTTCTAAGGAGCCTTGTGGTCATGAACCATCATGTGTTTTTTCAGACTACCTTTTCCGATATATGTCTTATTGCATATGCTGCATTCATAGGGGCGCTCACCACTGTGAATGAGCATGTGACTTTTCAGATTGCTTGAGTTTGTGAATTTCTTATTGCATATGTTGCATTCATGGGGACGCTCACCACTGTGAACGAGCATGTGACGTTTCAGATTATTTAATTGTGTGAATGTGTTATTGCATATATTACATTCATATGGGCGTACACCGCTGTGTATCAGCATGTGTTGTTTCAGATGACTTACTACTTGGAATTGTTTCTTGCATACAAGGCATTTGTTGGGGCATTCACCACTGTGAATGAGCATGTGTCTCTTTAGATTGCTCAAATTTGTGTATGTTTTATTGCATACATTGCATTCGTGCGGACGTTCATCACTGTGAATGAGCATGTGTCTCTTCAGATGAGTTAAATCTGTGAATGTTTTCTTGCATATGCTGCATTCATGGGGACGCTCACCACTGTGAATGAGCAGGTGGCTTTTCAGATTACTTAATACGTTGAATGTCTTCTTGCATATGTTGCATTCATGGGGGCGCTCACCACTGTGAATGAGCAGGTGGCTTTTCAGATTACTTAAGTTTGTGAATTTCTTATTGCATATGTTGCATTCATGGGGACGCTCACCACTGTGAACGAGCATGTGACGTTTCAGATTATTTAATTGTGTAAATGTGTTATTGCATGTATTACATTCATATGGGCGTACACCACTGTGTATCAGCATGTGTTTTTTCAGATGATCTACTAGTTGGAATTGTTTCTTGCATACATTGCATTCGTGGGGGCGTTCACCACTGTGAATGAGCATGTGTCTTTTCAGATCGCTCGAGTTTGTAAACGTTTTATTGCATACATTGCACTTATGCGAGCGTACTCCCCGGTGTGTCACCATGTGTTTCTTCAGATGACCTAATTCTGTGAATGCCTTATTGCATTTCTTGCATTCATGGAGGCGCTTTTCACTGCCTTTATTATTAAATGTCTTATCGCTTATTTCACATTCATAAGTGTTACATTCATAAGACTCCTGTTTGACTTCTTCTTCAATCGTCACCTCGGAATTTATGAATCTTTCTAAACACGTATCATCGTCTTCAGATTTAACAATAGCATCAATGGCATCAAATTTATCCTCAATTTCACATTTAACGTCCCCTGCTAAATATTCGGGTGGCTCAATTTTGATTGGATGTTCATTCGTAGACATAATCATTTCTTCTGACATTTTCAAATATTTTCACTGCGAACAGCTAGTAAATATTTATGAAAATAGTTGTGTCCTATGCAATAATAATTATAAACTAGATTAATCAGTAAATGATTTCAACTACCTTTATCATTTGACATTTCAAGCATAGAGCATGTTTATAGAAAGATGAGACAATAGATAAGTAAACATAAATAGATCGCTATCTCAGGCCATTTGACATTAGCGATCTGAAGGAGGCAGCACTTGTACAGTATATAAATTAACCACTGGTATTATTCCTAGATATGGTTTGCATACGTAATTCAAAATAAGAAAACTTAAATAATTTCTTATATTGGAAATGAGAAAAGAAGACATACAAAGTACAAAATTTATTTTCAAATATATCACAAATATCTTTACATAACTATTAAATTTTCATAAATGTTTTAATTATTATGCATAATAAATAATATGTATTATAATTTTACAATTATATGTAACTAGAAAAAAGTATTTACAATGGAATGATAAATTTACAAGGAACGATAAATATGAATTACTTAATGATCAACAATATATAACAACTATACAGAAATATTGTAAAAGCTTTCATAAGTATAATGAATTTACACGAACTGACTAATATTAATTTCTTAATTATAAATAATAATATATTAAATTAATATATTAAAAAGATAAAAAAAGATGGTTTCAGTTTCTTCATAAAGCCATTTCTTAACGAATCTACTTGACATTTTCTTAACTCAGAACGGAATTATATCTTAAATTAATTTTATATATTTTTTGTTAAATGTTTTTTAGTTATCAGATTGGAAACTAAGTAAGTGCGCATATTTTTCTAGAAATTGATAGTTATCGTTGGCAACTAAGTAAGTGCGCATTTTAGTTAGAAAATCAAAGACAATTTTTGCGTGGAATTAAATAACTTTGTTATGTATACCATTTTGATCGATGGCTTTTTGTTATTTTCCAAGAAACATCATTATTCCAAGTTTATAAAACTTCTAGTTTTTATTAGCAAAAACTAAATTAGACACAATTTGGCACCATCATGATTTTTGTGGTCAGAAACATTTAGTGGATGTGGAGAAAATTTTTCACCAACCCCCAATAATTTTTAAACATAGCCAAATTGTTTCTATTAGCCCAATCGATTATTACTTTAATTAGTTTGTCCAAAACTTTAACTGGACAGCATTGAGTGGAAAATTACCAGAATGACATTTTCTAAACCAATTTTATCATGGCTGTTTTTTAAGGCTTCGACACCATAAACAGCACCTATTCTTTGGGATAATCGTTATACCATTTGTAGAAATAAAAATTCAAAATTTGACTAAAATGTTTGTTTTGATATTTCATCTTTCAACAAACACACTGCATAACTGATCAAAAAGTTAAAGCTAAATTTCTCACTATACATTACTACCTTCACCTCAACAAACCTAAAGAATCATTTGAAGCAATCTAACAATAAGAGTAAAAGCCGCGTTTAGTGTCAACATTGTACTATATAAGGATACAATAAAAATTAGTTTATTTTAAATTAATTCCATCTTTAGCCATAGTTACTGACAGTGAGTAAAAAACTCACATCATATTTACAATTTTTCTGCTTTTAAAGCCTTGTACAAAACTCTGTTCTCATAAAGCTTCACAATTACCTTTAGTATGAAATATCACTTTTCTTGTGCATATTTCAAGTCGAGTCTTGTCACTGACCTTAAAGCATTTATGCCAAGCAGTCAGAAACTTGATTTACCTGTTTTTTGGTAATTTTCGTAAATTGGAATATAGAAGTTTAAAATAATTAGTGAAGGGCTACTGGAACCCAAAGAATTGTTGCATCCCGCAATATTCTCTTTCATAATGTTGTTGTTAGATTTATATAAAGTTTATTGCATATATCAGATTATAATGTGTAGTTGTAATTTTATTATCAAGTAATGAGAAAAAGTCAAGCCAACTCGGCAGAAAAAACATAACTCCGGCACTAGGAAAGCAAGGTTGAAAACTAAAACTGTCGCGGCCAAACCGGGACACCTTATTATTCTAAATCTAAGAAGCATTTTTTTTGTTAAATGTTTTCCCGTGCTATACTACATTACATTAAAATCGCCAAAATTTTCAAATTGCCCCCCTGAAATTACGAATTGCCCCTCGGTGGGGCGTGCGCCCCACGTTCGGAAACTCTGATATAGAGTAAAAGTACAGAGTACTCTATTAGACGTCTAATTCATTTATGAGTCATGCTTCTTTAACATTAATTTTGCATTTGATAGTTATTTCGCTTTCCAATCAATCATTAATAAAGTTGCATTCTACAAAATCTTGAATTTATTATGATTTGATTGTGTCAATAGAACAGTGCAGCGGTCCTTTCGGCTGGCTCATATGCCTCTTAATTGAAGCAATATAACATTTCTTGTCCTTACATTTATTGTTTCCGGAATATTAGGAATAGTTCTGAGCATTTTACACTCTGTTGGAATTTTTACCTTGAATTATTGCATTGTTTGTCTATCCTTCTTAACTCCCCCAACATATAAGGGATGTGTCATACATTTTACCTACCCTTGGTGTCAAGACACTCCTATACTGCTGCCGCAATTTGTATTCCCAAAAACATCTAATAAACATGACATGTTTGTTGTAATATAATATCAAGTCGTAATAGCAAATGGTATTAAAATATTCAAAATTATTATTACCCTTTCCACTGGACTTGCAGAGTGTTCTCCTGGTCATATATCAGATTGTCTTTCTCTTCTTATATCACTGTGAACTAGGGAATGCAATACCGGTATATCGGTATACCGAATTACCGGTAAACCGCCCGATTTTTCGGCGGTATTTTTACCGGTATTTACCCCAAAAATACCGGTATTTTAGGTATTTTTACATAGGCGCTAGTTGATACATAATACACTAAAGTTTAAATTTCTCGGAACAAATTTATCTTCAAATTCCATAATCGCATAAACAGCTATATCTTCAAGTGATTCTATAGGATAAACAAATGTCAAATATTATCTCAACTCGTCATCAAACTGAATATTTATTGCTTTACTAAGGGCTTCCTATCGTGTTTCAATAAATAGAATTCGACTGATAGATAATGATGTTCGTTTATGTAAGCATGTAACGGTTTTTTAAGTGATATTTGCGCCAAAATATTTTATATCATACAGATTACCTCTGCGTAATCTTTACTTTTTTCTAACTTTATACATAATGATTATGATAATTACTAAATATTTTTGCTTCTTATTACAATTATAAAATATTATTTTTCGAAAACGTTTCGAAGTTTGAAAATACTATAGAAGCATCACATTGTTTTGAATAACAATACTCAACAATTATAGTAACTTATTTATCTTGACAAAGTATCCGATCTTAAATTAGTGTAGAATTTTTTTTTTAAATATTGGAGATTATGCTAATTTAACACATCGGATACAGACAATCCCGTTTATTATAATAATGTAATATGATCTTTTATGAGTTTTTGGTCTTTCTTACTCATAAGTTTGTTTTTGGTGAAAAGTACTCAATATACTCGATAGTGATAATGAATTAATTAAATTGGATATAATTTTGTTAAATTATTATTTAAAAAAATAAACTTATTGTTTTATTTTATTGTTTTTATTGTTTAGTTGAATATAGTTGTAGTTGTATAAACATTTTTATATTTGTACTAGTAACTTTCAATTTTGTTCACGTTTGTTTAAGATAATAAAAATACCGGTAATTTACCGGTATTCCGGTTTTAAAATGAAAAATTACCGAAATACCGGTAATGAAATTTTCCATCGGTATTGCATTCCCTACTGTAAACTATAGACATGAGAACTATTCTGTGAAATATAATTCGACATTTCTAATTTGTTCATTTCATAAAGCCGGAAAGAAGTGCATTTTTATATTATTTCTGAAGTTGCCACAAGTTGGTGCGTTACATTTTGCCATATTAAATTTCACATAAATGTATTACTTGAATACAATTAATTACAGAAACAACATGCGAACCACAAACTTTGATATAAAATGGCGAGCAAATCTTTTAGCGACATATTTTTTTGCTGAAAATAGTAGTCCTTTCCAAACAGGGTAATATACATTTGTTCGAAGATAACTCGCCATGGATGAGACATTTATCCAAACTTTATGGTATTTAATAAATGGTGCTTCTTTTTTCATTATGGTTCTCTATGCGACACAACTATCAACAATTGTTTTTAATAATTAAGCTACAAATAATTAAATTATTTACAGTTTTATCTGACAATATAGTATACAATGTCCCTTCTTGGCGGACTATTGTAAATTCATTAAATTTACTAAATGTCCTTTACTGGACAGTTGTAAATAAAAGAGTTAATAATAAAAAAAAAACAGTTTTATCTAATATTACAATTGTACAAATATTTATTTATATTGTTGAACTGCTCATGATATTTCTTGAAGCAATTTCCTGTATAACCTGTGCTTTTTTTTACATTATGCATGCTAAATATCTCTAAAAATCTTGAATTTATCTTGAAAATATCTTTCGGCGATCCAAAGATAATAAAATTATCTATGTTTTTGTCTTGCAATATATTTGTCTACAGATTGTTTTTATATTTATAAACAACTAATGAAATTTCTCGAACCATTTTCATCATCAACATATACATTTTTTTAGATTACGCATAAAATCTCTGAAAATATAAAAGCTATATTAAAAGTATCTTTGGACTAGTTACAGATAATCAAATTAAACTAGGTAGTGTTGCAGGTTTAATTTTCAGATAGTTTATTAAAAAGCTAAATATACAATTTTTATTAAAATGACTTTAGACAAATTAAAGATAATTAAATTATGGGCAATTTAATGCAGCAAATATTTATTTTAAATTCAATTTAACAAATGTGTTTATTTTACATTAATTTTCATCGCTTTTCTGTCTATGATGTGCCATGTGTTGCTTCAAATCATTCGATTGAGCAAATCCCTTATTGCATATATCACATTTATAAGGAGCCTTGCGGTCATGAACCATCATGTGTTTTTTCAGACTACCTTTTCCGATATATGTCTTATTGCATATGCTGCATTCATAGGGGCGCTCACCACTGTGAATGAGCATGTGACTTTTCAGATTGCTTGAGTTTGTGAATTTCTTATTGCATATGTTGCATTCATGGGGACGCTCACCACTGTGAACGAGCATGTGACGTTTCAGATTATTTAATTGTGTGAATGTGTTATTGCATATATTACATTCATATGGGCGTACATCACTGTGTATCAACATGTGTTGTTTCAGATGACCTACTAGTTGGAATTGTTTCTTGCAAACATTGCATTTGTGGGGGCGTTCACCACTGTGAATGAGCATGTGTCTCTTCAGTTGACCTAATTCTGTGAATGTCTTTTTGCATATACTGCATTCATTGGACCGAATTCCACTGTGAGTGAGCAGGTGTTTTTTCAGATTACCTGATTGTGTGAATGTCTTCTTGCATATGTTGCATTCATGTGGGCGCTCACCACTGTGAGTAAGCATGTGATTTTTGAGACTACTTGAATGTGTAAATGTCTTCTTGCATGTGCTGCATTCATGGGAGCGCTCACCACTGTGAACGAGCAGGTGGCTTTTCAGATTACCTAATACGGTGAATGTCTTCTTGCATATGTTGCATTCATGAGGTCGCTCACTACTGTGAACGAGCATGTGTCTTTTCAGATGACCTAATTCTATGAATGTTTTATTGCACATACTGCAATCATAGGGGCGAACACCACTGTGAATAAGCAAGTGATTTTTCAGATTACCCTTATTTGTAAACGTTTTATTGCATACATTGCACTCATGCGAGCGTACTTCCCGGTGTGTCACCATGTGTTTCTTCAGATGACCTAATTCTGTGAATTCCTTATTGCATTTCTTGCATTCATGGAGACGCTCTCCACTGCCTTTATTATTAAATGTCTTATCATTTATTTCACATTCATAAGTGTCACATTCATAAGACTCCTGTTTGACTTCTTCTTCAATTATCACCTCGGAATTCATAAATCTTTCTGAACACGTTTCATCATTTTCAGAAAACGATTCAGATTTAACAATAGCATCGATGGCATCAACTTCCTCAATTTCACATTTAATGTCCCCTGCTGAATATTCGGGTGGCTCAATTTTAATTGCCTGTTCATTCGTAGACATAATCATTTCTTCTGACATTTTCAAATATTTTCACTGCGAACAGCTAGTGAATATTTACGAAAATAGTTGTGTCCTATACCATAATAATTATAAACTAGATTAGTCAATAAATGATTTCAACCATAAGAAAACAAGTATAATAAAGTGCTTTTAACTTCCTTCATCATTTGACATTTCAAGCATAGCGCATGTTTATAGATAGATGAGACATTTATCCAAACGCTTTGATATTTAACAAATGGCGCGTCTTTTCAAATTCATTATGGTTCTCTATGCGACACAACTATCAATGAATGTTTTTAATAATTAAGCTACAAATAATTAAATTATATACAGTTTTATCTGATATTACAATTGCTACAAATATTTATTTATATTGTTAAAACGCTCTTGATATTTCTCGACGCAATTTCCTGAACAACATGTGCTTTTTTCTACATTATGCTTAATGTCTCTAAAAATCTAGAATTTATCTTGAAAATATCTTTAGACAAGTCAAAGATAATAAAATTATCTACAATTTTGTTTCATATTATAATTACCTACAAATACTTTTTATATTTTTAAATCACTTATGAATTTTCTTGCATTATTTTCATTAACAATGTGTTGTACATTTTGCTCAAAGCCAAATTGGACCTTTGTGTCTCGTTCTGCTCTACATATATACTTTTTATTAAATTTTCTTTAATTCATCGAATGTTACTTAAAACTTTTCAAAAAGAAGGTCAAAGAAGAAATACTTAATTCATTTTCTATCTCTTCTCGCAAAAATTTGAAAATTTTTCATAAGCTCAGTAGTATTATTTACAATTATACACAAAATCCAGAATCCAAAAAGAATCTGAAAAATTTGAAACGTAATCAATAAGTCGAAAGACCAAAAAAGACTTCGATTTGATTATACCATGTTTTCTGTAGAAAGTGTATAAAATTTCCAATTTGGCTGTATTGACAAAATATAGACAAACTAATGGGGTTTATTGTTTTTATAATACCTCATTGTATATAACATTCAAACGACACATCCTTATACACTTAAAGTACTAATTTTTTAGATTCTCTTTGATTAGAATATACCTTACTTAGCAAAACAACGTTTTCCGGGCCGGCTAGTATATATATATATATATATATATATATTCTTTTTAAGTAAAATACTCATATTAAACATTTTTGAAGTTGTGTGTAAGAAAAAAGCGTATTTTGAAATAACAATTTCAATTTCATTTTATTCTCTTACAATTACAGTAATATAAAACAGTCAATGGAGTTGAAATAACAAAAATGAATTAAAATTAAAATATAATGAGTATTATCACATTTATGATGAATTATTCCTTAGATTTTTTTTCAGTGCTTGATAGCCTCTTCACAGTAGTCTTCTTGGCTTTTTTGCTTTTCTGCTCCAACTTTGAATACTTATTCGCCAGATTTTCCAAAAAATTATTAGTCCTTTCCTCGTTCCTCTTCTGAATCTGCTTGAACAAATCATCATCACTCATATTCTGTTTCTGCTTACGTTTCTTCATAATTTGTTTGGCTAGAACAGCCTCACGTTTGTATTTATTATGTCTTCGAATACGTCTTGAAGCAGGTTCTTCGGTGAAGATTTTATATTCCTCAAGTTCGCCCTCGGCTATGAGACCTTTAACAATTTCTATTAACCTGGGTTCGTCCTCGCAGGTGAGGAAAGGTACGAGTTCGTGCATGAAGTCGATGGAGCCTCGGGCTCGTTTGTAGGCTTTTTTGATGTCTTCGATTTCTTCCTGGGAACCTTTGTATTTGGTTTCGTACTCTTTTATGGATTCTTCGGTGATCGGGGGGAACATGGCGCGCCAGTAGTCGAGCCAACTGTCTATGGAGCCTTCGGAATCGTCTTCTATTATTCCTGAATTGTCGTACAGGTCGCGTTTTTTGGGGTCTGTTAGGATTTCGTAGATTTTGCTGAGGACTTTGAATTTTTCGGTGGCTTCTTCCTTGTTGCTTTCCTCGACGCGGTCAGGATGGACGGTGAGAGAGAGTTTGTAGTAGGCTTTTTTCAGTTCTTTGTCGTTTGCTGTTTTTTCGACGCCCATGGCTGCGTATAGGTCGTCGGATTCGAAATATTTTTTGCATAGACTTTTTAAACCCGCCATTTTCACGTTTATAAAAAGCCTACACTTTGAAGAAAACCTACAAAGTTATTAAGAATTACATATTAGTATACAGATTGACATTTAATTTAGATTTTGTTTATAAATATTTTGTTTAAGAAGTAGGAATATTATATATGTAGAGTGGTCCTTAATATGGATATTTTCGATTTTTTTGCTCCCAGGGGCTCAAATGCTTCCAAATTAATAAAAACTAGCTGTAAGTGGAATTCTGTCTTGAGGCAATTATGGCATCGTGCCTTAAGGCAAATTGCTGGAACTTCCCGTACCGTAACGAAATGTTCGAGGAATACTAAATGTTTTCAAATGAATTATTATAAATATTGTAACATTGTCTAATATTTATAAGAATTATATAAACTGAATTGCAAAGTTGAAATTATTTGTTTAAAGTATATTAGAACTATAGACAGAATTAAAAATAAAATCTGAATTATTTTCGATATACAAAAAATGAAAAAAAGTTGAAACAATTTTTTTTTTCAAAATCAATTATTTTGTTAAGACAAGCAGAAAGTTCTTTGAATCAATTAAATCGGACACTTAGTTCTCTCAAAAACTGCAATTTTTTTCACATTTAGCTCTGTATCTCCGAAATGGTTAGGCCTGCCTTTGCCAAAAACTAATAAACACTTCTCACAATCATTACTAATTAAATGTTTTTTAAATCATTCAAATCGGATGCTCCGTTCTCTCAAAATTCGATTTCTATTTTCTGCACTCTTTGCTCCGTATCTCCGAAACGGCTGGACCTGCCTTTACCAAAAACTAATCAGCTCTTCTCCTTATCAATAGGAATCGAATGTTTTTTGAACCATTCAAATCCGTTGATTCGTGCGCCCGAAAACGTGATTGGAAATTTGTATCCATACATACGCACACACACATCCATTTTTTCTGAGGTATGCCAAAACGTTCAGAAACCTTCAAAACGTCGAGAAATGTAAAAATTTTCAATTCCGATTTTCGGCCCATTACAATAGCTTACCCTATGGGAAGTTAAAAATCTAGTTTTAGCTCTTAATATTAACTCTCTAACATAGTTTATTATGAAAATAACATGGTGTAAAATTCCATTTGTTTTTTTAGAATTTTATAACTCAGCGACAAGTGAATCCAAATTTCGAAAATAACATTGTATTTGCTTATTTCGATCATAAATAAAAAATGACAACAAAAATTTGATATATTTTATATAAATAAGTAATGACTTAGGAAGAAGATGCAAGAAACTTTGGTTGAAGTGCGGATTGTCTTAAAGTTAATATTAAGACTTAACACTTTTAGAGAATTGTTTTTTATCAATTTGGAAGCATTTGAGGCCCTGGGCGCAAGAAAATTCGAAAATATCCATATTAAGGGCCACTTTTATATATATATATATATATATATATATATATATATATCTTCAGTTCTACATTAAATGATTTCAGAGTTATATGTTAGAAATATGTAGATATAAAAAAGTCAGAACATTACAAAAATATAATTATAAATATGTGAAACAGCTTAAATCTAACCAATTTGCTAATAAATTTATTATATAACAAAAATATATTGTCAACATGTCTAAAGGTAGATCACAAAACTAAAAATAAATAATTAATATGCAATTACTCACCATACAATTTAAAAGAACACAAAAAAAATGATACAATGCATATTAATTATTTATCTTTAGTTTTGTGGTCTACCTTTAAATATGTTAATATGTTTTTGTGATATAATAAATGTATTATCAATTTAATTAGTTTTATGCTGTTTCACATGTTTATAATTACATTTTTGTAAACTTCTGACTTTTTTGTAATGTAACTCTGAAATTTTTAAGATTAAACGTTTCGATACAATGTGTGTTATCATTCATTTTATGTTTTTGTGTCTTTCCTGGTATAGTTAGTACATAATTTTCTCCTTTTTATATTTAATATCAAATGTTGTAATTTATGTAATGTTTTTTAGATTACTGAATGGTGAGATGCATTAAGAGTCGAAATGTCTAATATTATAAATAATTTTTCTATATTAACTTTCTTTTAATTCGACAATTAGGCTCAAAATACTTCAAATATATACATATATATATATATATATATATATATATATATGAATTAATACAAATATTTAATTAACAATACCCAAACATAATTTATAAGTATATTGTTATTTTTATCTCCGATTTTTTACATAGCCTTTATACATAGAATTTTTACAAAGCTTACATGCAGTCGAGGTAGAAAAGACCAACCCTGTCTTTTACTCTAATAAAGGTGCAAGAAATTATATGATAGTAAATAAAAATTTGAGGTAAGTTAAAAAAAGGAATTTTACAAGAGCTAAATTACATTAATACTTACTATGTTGATGAATATTTAGTTATAATTTTTGTAAAAATACTGCTCATGAAATTTGTATTTGGCATTGGGTTAACAATGTAGTTTTTATTTCAGAAAATCCTTCATAATTAAGGTAAGTTGCTCCCTATGGGATAAACGAGGATAGATGAAAAGTTTTAGACAAAATAGCAAATTTAGGCCATAACTGGGAAATTTTCTGAACAAATTTCGATAGTTAGTTGTTTCATATGCATTAAGTGTTTGGTATTAACAGTATAAGTACTGTTGATATGCTTATAAGCTTATATTATATATTGTGATGCTGAGTAGGATATATATCTCGAATATGCATCTAATAGGGCTCAACAATCAATCATGAAACAGGCAAGTTCTAGTTTGCATCTTGATAACTAGATGTAACAGAATTGCATTTTTGTTTGGATTTTCATTTATAGGTATAACACAGCAACTTTTAATCAAATAAAAAATGATTTGTAATCTCGTATTCTATGTATAGTGTTTGGTTTTTGCAGTATATTTAGTGAAAGTTGTAAATAATTATATATTAGGATACTGAATAGGAAGTTTATCTCGAAAATGCATCTAATACGGCTCAAAAATCAATGAGAAAACACACAAATGCTATTTTGCTCCTTTATAACTAGATGTAACAGAATCACATCTTTATTTTAAGGTAATTTGTAATCCTTCAGCTAGTATTAAATTAATGAGAGAAATTCTCATAAGATACTACAAAAAGTTAAAGATAACCTCTGTACATATATAATACTTATGTTAATATCATTAAGTATTACATATTAATATACAGATAGATGACAGACTTTAATTTAGATTTTAATTATGACTTACCTTAATAAAGCACCAAGGAATAACAGCACTAAGACTCTCAATATTTTATTTGATTTTATTCTGGTCTGACGTCTTTAAGTTGAAGATAACCTATACAATCATTAAGTATCACGTATTATTATAAAGACAGATTTAGATTTTATTTATAAATATTTTATTTACCTTAATAAACTTTATTTCTTTATTTTATTTACCTCAAAGAAATTACAGCAATAAGATTATGAATATTTTATTATTTATTTTATTACCATTAAATCTGACATTTACAATTGACAGTTGCTAACCGCCAAAAAAGTACTGCATAACCTGTGTCATACTTCACTCTTGACCGTTAGTAAACCTGGCAACGGCGCAAGTCATTTAACCGAAGCCATGTCAACGACGCGGTCGTGAAATTCATTGCGAAATTGCACAAGATGGCGGACATGGCGTGGATTTTGTAGGTTAACTAGTAATAAGTGAGTTTTTGCTTTATGTATTTGTTATTGATAGTGTTTAATTACGTGATTTGGTGGAGCATCAGGATGAGGAGTTAATAAGGATGGGATTTAAGGTAAATTTATAATAGTATGTAATTATTGTTACATGTAAATTATTCGCGTCAAAGTGTCGGTAGATGCGCGTCGTTTTTATGTCGAAAAAAATACAGTTGGAAGTTGAATTTGATTTCGGCAGCTCGTTTGTTAACTTTGCATACATTGCTTTAGTCGAAATCACAGTTAATGGCGTGAAATCTTTTACTTTTTGCTTGGCTACATTTCCAAAGCATTATCATGTGCTTTGGCTGATATCTAGCTGCTTTAGGTGGGTTAGCAGTTGCTAATACTTAATTTATAGAAATTATGATTGCCTTGATTATCAATAAAAGCATATTACGTAAAGTTTGCTGTATATTGTAGAATTTATGTTGAAAGTTTATGTGAATAATACAACCGTTTATGCAGAAGGATAAAAACAGACTGACTGATTATATATTCTTTAATTAATCACATGCATTACAAATATTATTAACAATCACTTGTTTTTTTACATAAAACAAAAGACAAACATATATACATAAACATAGTAGACACAGAGCGTTTAGTATCAAACTTCAACATATATTTCATACTACTTATACATTCTATTACAAACAAGAACAATTTATAACATTTTGCTAAATATTTTAATTCTTTTATCATGTTTCATTGATTTTCAAGTTTTCGACAATGAAATGCCATGTGTTTCTTCAAATTGTTCGATTGAGTAAATCGTGTATTGCATATTGCACATTCATAAGGCTGCTCTCTGCTATGAACCAGCATGTGTCTCTTCAGAGTGCTGTATAGTTTGAATTTCTTATGACAAATATTGCATTCTTCGGATCGTACTTCTTCGTGCGTTACCATATGAGTTTTCAAAGCACTTGATTGAGTGAATGTCTTATTGCATACATTGCATTCGTGGGGGCGTTCACCACTGTGAATGAGCATGTGTCTTTTCAGATGACCTAAATGTGTGAATGTTTTATCGCATGTGTTGCATTTATGCGAGCGTACCCCTTCATGCTTTATCATGTGTTTTTTCATGTAACTTGATTGTGTGAAGGTCTTATTGCATATGTTGCATTTATAAGGACGTACTCCATTGTGTATCAGCATGTGACTTTTCAGATAATCAGAATGTGTGAATGCTTTATTGCATATATTACATTCATATGGACGTACTCCACTGTGTATCAACATGTGTCTGTTCAGATGACTTACTAGTGAGAATTTCTTTTTGCATAAATTGCATTCATGGGGGCGCTCACCACTGTGGATGAGCATGTGAAGTTTCAAGCTGCATAATTGTGTAAATGTCTTTTTGCAAGTACTGCACTCGTAGGGTCGTTTGCCACTGTGAAGGAGCATGTGGCTTTTCAGGTTACATAATTGTGTGAATGTCTTATTGCAAATACCGCACTCATGGGGGCGTACTTCACTGTGTATTAGCATGTGTCTTTTCAGATGACATATTCGTTTGAAAGTCTTATTGCATGTGCTGCATTCATGGGTGCGCTCAGTACTGTGAATGGGCATGTGTTTGGTCAAATAGGCTTTATTATTGAATGCCTTATGACATACATCGCATTCAAAGGGTCGTTCTTCAGAATGTATCATCATGTGTGCTCTTACCTGTTTTAATAGTTTGAAAGTCTTGTGACAGACTTCGCATTTAAAAGGGCGTTCTTCATTATTACTAGGCTTGTGATTGACCATATGCTCTTTTAAATGATGCAGTTCTGGAAATGATTGATTACAAATGCCACATTCATAAGACTCCTGTTTGACTTCTTCAATTGTCACCTCGGAGTTCATGAATTTTTCTAAACTCGTTTCACCATCCTCAGAGCACGATTCAAATTTAACAATAGCATCGATGGCATCAAATTTGTCCTCATTTTCACATTTAATGTCCTCTGCTGAATATTCTGGTGGTTCAATTTTAATTGCCTGAGCATTCATAGACATAGTTGTTTCAGACATTTTCAAATTCAATGCTTATATTTACAAAATAATTGTGTGCTAAACAATAATAGATTTTGTTTAATCAATAAATTTTTAAAATTTGATAAATAACTTCAACTAAATTCATCATTTGACATTTGAAGCATAGAGCACGTTTTCAGAAAGTTTTAGACATTTATCTAAACTAAACGTTTCGATATTTAACAAGTGGCGCGCCTATTCAAATTCAATATGTTTCTTTAAATGTTTTTTTTTTAACTTCCCTTAGGGTAAGTTATTGTAATGAGCCGAAAATCGAAATTGAAAATTTTCTACATTTCTCGACGTTTTGAAGGTTTCTGAACATTTTGGCATACCTCAGAAAAAATGGATGTGTGTGTGTATGTATGTATGGATACAAATTTCCAGTCACGTTTTCGGGCGCACGGATCATGGTTTAAAAAACATTAGATTCCTGATGATAGGGAGATGAGCTGATTAGTTTTTGGCAAAGGCAGGTCCAGCAGTTACAGAGATAAAGAGCAAAGAGTGCAGAAAATAGAAATCGAGTTTTTGAGAGAAAGGAGCGTCCGATTTGAATGATCTAAAAAAACATTCAATTAGTAATGATTGGGAGAAGTGTTTATTAGTTTTTGGCAAAGATAGGGCCAGCGGTTTCGGAGAGACAGAGCTAATAGTGTAAAAAATGGCAGTTTTTGAGAGAACTAAGCGTCCGATTTAAATGATTCGAAGAACTTTCTGCTTGTCTTAACAAAATGATTTATTTTAGAAAAAAAAAATTTTTGTTTCAACATTTTTTTTTAAGAAAAAAATTTTTTATATATCGAAAATAATTCAGATTTTATTTTTAATTCTGACTATAGTTCTAATATACTTTAAACAAATAATTTCAACTTTGCAATTCAGTTTATATATTTCTTATAAATATTAGACAATGTTACAATATTAATAATCCATTTAAAAACATTTAATATTCTTCGAACATTTCGTTACGGTACGGGAAGTTCCAGCAATTTGCCTTAAGGCACGATGCCATACACCCCACTAGTTATTGTTAATTTTAGAATAATTATTACACACATAAAAAGACATGTAGGAGAGCCTAGGGGCTTGTTGAGATCTACTGATTATATTTTTATGAAATAAAGCTAGATACTTAAACTTTTTTTTCTACCAAACCAAGTAAAAATATTTTAATCATTAGGGTTCATTATTTCACAATTAATCATTTCCTAAAAAAAAGGTAGTGTTTGGGGTTGGTTGTAACATCTACAAAGGCAAAAGTAACAACAATAATACTGATTATTTTTTAGCTTATTTTTTTTAAAAAATCAACTTATTGACGAAAAAATGCGGACATATAAAACACAATTCTTCTGCATTAATCAACAATAGGTAAGACCTTCGACAAATCACTGGCAATATTCAGATGATTTGTATTGTACTTGTTGTACGTTTCAGAACAGTTGTAAAAATTATTAAAATAATATATATATATATATATATATATAAAACACACACACATCCATTTTTTCTGAGGGATGCCAAAATGTTCAGAAACCTTCAAAACTTCGAGAAATGCAAAAATTTTCATTTTTGATTTTTGGTTCATTACTATAACTACCCTATAGGAAGTTAATTATAAAATAATTTGTAATAATTGCCTTCATCTTCTTATATATGAAAATGGATTGCAAAATGTGTTGGTAAGCGCATAACTCAACAACGACTGGACCAATTTGGCCAATTCTTTTTTTAAAATGTTCGTTGATGTCCAAGGATGGTTCTTACGGCGACAAAAAATCAAATAATCTTCGGAAAAACCCTAAAAACAGCCTTTTTCTTTTTCAAATACAAACGTTTTCCAACTAAAACATAGAATCAAATTGAGATTTATTGCTAATATATAAAGTTCATATTAAATTACAAGCACTCACTGTATACTTTTTCTCAACGATTATTCGGATTTTGATAAATCTTTCTGAAGTTTGTTAAGGAAAATTTCTGGGGTATATGTGATTATAAAGTACTGTAATGTATGTGCAATATTCTAGAAATAAATGGAAAAAATTGCAAAAAACGACATGTTATTGTTTGCATTGAAAATAAATGAAAACTATCATCCGCCAAAAATGTATGATTAAATAATAAGAAAAATGAAAGGTCAACATTATTATTGCCGAAAAGCAGTTGAGATATGCCAGAAATTTAAATAATATGAACAAATATGACAAATTAATTTACTTAAAATATGAAATTAAGTATTAATCAGCCTACCTTTAATGCGATGCATGCGAAAAATACGAGCGCACGCCTTGGGGGGCGCCAACACAAGATTCGGATATTAAATTTTCAATATAGTTTTTTTTTTCAATATATAATTTTATTGCATCTTTTACTAATCTTTCCACAATGTTTTTAAAATTTGTAAAAATTTCACTTTAAAACAACAAATGGAAAAGTAAAGATGAATTCGGCCCTCACGATATCAATTAGTAGATGTTTAAGATGCAATTTTGGATATCTTAAATAATAAAAAATTAAATTAATTTAATCCAAATAAAGTACTAGTGTTATGTTATGGTTATGGTTATGTTATACCGTTTAAAAGACTTCAATTTCAAATATAGTATGGGAATTGAATCTCATCATTTTATTTTAAGCAGTTCTACATTTAACATCGCTCATACTATAAATGTATATGCATTTTGGCGTGAAGAGTAATTTAAAAAACAATAAGTATTATTTTTAGGTAAACAGTAAATATTAGTATATTATATTAAAAAAATGTAGACATGGGTACAGGACAACGTCTGTCAGGTCAGCTAGTTATCAATAAATGCATATTATGCAATGTTTACTGTATATTTGATACTATTAATATATTTTATTTTACATTTATGAATATTTATAACATTTTTTTCAAATATTTAAATTCAATTTAATAAATATATTTGTTTCTTTTAATATTTATAAGGTCACTCTCTTTTATGAATGAGCATGTGACTTTTCAGATTGCACAACTTTGTGAATGTCTTATTACATATGTTGCATTCATGGGGACGTACTCCATTGTGTATCTGCATGTGACTTTTCAGATAATCTAAATGCGTGAATGCCTTATTGCATATATTACATTCGTACGGGCGTACTCCACTGTGTATCAGCATGTGCCTTTTCAGACTACTTGTTAGTTGGAACGTCTTATTGCATATCCTGCATTCGTGGGGGCGCTCCCCACTATGAATAAGCATGTGACTCTTCAAACTGCTCAATTGTGTGAATGTTTTATTGCATAGGTTGCATTCGTGGGGGTGCTCACCACTGTGAACGAGCATGTGGCTTTTCAGATTACATAATTGTGTGAATGTCTTATTGCAAATACCGCACTCGTGGGGGCGTACTTCACTGTGAATGAGCATGTGTCTCTTCAGGTGACCTAATTCTATGAATGTCTTATTGCATATCCTGCATTCATGGGGACGCTCACCACTATGAATGAGCAAGTGATTTTTTAGATTACTTAATTGATTGAATGTCTTTTTGCATATGTTGCATTCATGGGGGCGCTCACCACTGTGAACGAGCATGTGTCTCTTCAGATGACCTAATACTGTGAATGTCTTATTGCATATGTTGCATTCATGGGGACGCTCTCCATTGTGATTGAGAATGTGATATTTCAAACTATTTAATACTGTGAATGTCTTATGACAGATTTCACATTTGTAAGGGCGTTCTTTGCTATGACTAGGCTTGTGATCGACCATGTGGTCTGTTAGATGATGCAATTCTGCAAATGATTGATTACAAATGTCACAATCAAAAGACTCCTGTTTGACTTCATCTTTAATTGTCACCTCGGAATTCATGAATCTTTCTAAACTCGTTTCATCATTTTCAGAACACGATTCAGATTTAACAATAGCATCAAGAGCATCAAATTCCTCAATTTCACATTTAATGTCCTCTGCTGAATATTCAGGTGGTTCAATTTTAATTGCCTGAGCATTCATAGACATAATTGTTTCTTCCGACATTTTTAAATATTTTCAATGCTTATATTTACAAAAATAATTGTCTTAAACAATAATAATAATAATTTTTGTTTAAACAATATCTTTTAAACTTTGATAAATAATTTCAACTAAATTCATCATTTGACATTTAAAGCATAGAACACGTTTTCAGAATGATTAGACATTTATCCAAACACTTCGATATTCAAAAAATGGCGCGCCTTTTCAAATTCAATATGTTTTTATTGTTAATTTTAGAATAATTATTACACACATGGGGAGGCATGTATGAGAGCTAGGGGCTTGTTGAGATCTACTGATGATATTTTTATGAAATAAAGCTAGATACTTTAACTTTTTCTCTACCAAATCAAATAAACATAATTCCATAATTATAGTTCATTATTTCACAATCATTTCCTTAAAAAAGTGCGATGTTACAACTTACCCCGTGTTTTGCGGTTGTTTGTAACATCTACAGAAGCAAAAGTAACGACAATAATACTGATAATTTATTCTTTCCTTATTTTTTTTTAAAAAATTAACTTGTTTCTAAGTAATTATTTTCATAAATTCAATGTAATCAATTCAAATAAAATGTATACTAGTGGTGTATGCAAACGTGCCATAAGGCAAATTACTGGAACTTTCTGTATCGTAAGGAATATTAAATGTTTTCAAATAAATTAGATTGATATAAATACTGTTATAAGAATATATAAACTGAATTACAAAGTTAAAATTATTTATTTGAAGTATATAAGTGAGCTTAAGCTTTATTTTTATATTACATTTAAGAATAATTTATAACATTTTTTCCAAATATTTAAATTCAATCTAACAAATATGTTTGTTTCTTTCTATATCTATAAGGTTGTTTTCTGTCATGAATGAGCATGTGAGTTTTCAGATCGCACAACATTGTGAATGTCTTATTGCATATGTTGCATTGATGAGGACGTACTCTATTGTGTATCTGGACGTGTCTTTTCAGATGACTTGCTAGTTTGAATTGTTTCTTGCATATATTACATTCATACTGACGTACACCACTGTGTATCAACATGTGTTGTTTCAGATGACTTACTACTTGGAATTGTTTCTTGCATATATTGCATTCGTGGGGACGTTCACCACTGTGAATGAGCATGTGTGTCTTTAGATGACCTGATACTGTGAATGTCTTTTTGCATATACTGCATTCATGGGGACGCTCACCACTATGAATGAGCATGTGAATTTTTAGAGTACTTAATTGATTGAATGACTTCTTGCATATGTTGCATTCATGGGGGCGCTCCCCACTGTGAATGAGCATGTGTCTCTTCAGATGACCTGATACTGTGAATGTCTTTTGACAGATTTCACATTTAAAAGGACGTTTTTCGCTATGATTAGGCATGTGATCGACCATATGTTTTGTTAGATGATGCGATTCTGCAAATGATTGATTACAAATGTCACAATCAAAAGACTCCTGCTTGACTTCATCTTCAATTGTCACCTCGGAATTCATAAATCTTTCTAAACAAGTATCATTGTCTTCAGAAAACGATTCAGATTTAACAATAGCAATAGTGACATCAAATTCATCCTCATTTTCGCATTTAATGTCTTCTACTGGATATTCTGGTGGTTCTATTTTAATAATTGCCTGATCATTCATTGACATAAATGTTTTTTCTGACATTTTTAAATATTTTCACTGCTTATATACAAATCAATAAATATTTATGGAAATAGTTGTTTTATACAATAATAATAATAGTTTAGTTTAATCCAAAAAATTTTAAAACATAAATGAGTTTAACTAAAATTTACATTCATTATTTGACATTTGAAGCATAGAGTATGTTCATAGAAAGATGAGACTCAAAACCTTTGGAACGTAGAGAATAAAGATATGCAAAAATTTTCATTTTGAAATGAAATAAACATTTTTAATTTCAGAAGTTAATTATCGGAGTATCATCGTTTTATTTTTGTCGTTACTACTTTATTTACATTTCAGGAGACAATATTTTATATACATTTTATTTGTATTACTTATGGTTTAAGGTGATTTATGAAAAGAATTACTTAGAAACAAGTTAATTTTTTTAAAAAAATACATTTTCAGTATTATTGTCGTTACTTTAGCCTCTGTAGATGTTACAAACAACCGCAAAACACGGGGTAAGTTGTAACATCGTACTTTTTTAAGGAAATGATTGTGAAATAATGAACTATAATTATGGAATTATTTTTATTTGATTTGGTAGAGAAAAAGTTAAAGTATCGAGCTTTATTTCATAAAAATATAATCGGTAAATTTCAACAAGCCCCTAGCTCTCCTACATGCCTTTTTATGTTAATTATTCTAAAATTAACAACAAAAATATTTGTTGATAGTCGAGATACATAAATATCTTGTCCCCATCTTTATATAATCATAATCACACTCTATGCTTCAAGTGTCAAATGATGAATTTAGTTGAAGTTATTTATCAAATTTTAAAAATTTATTGATTAAACAAAATCTATTATTATTGTTTAGCACACAATTATTTTATAAATATAAGCATTGAATTTAAAAATGTCTGAAAGAACTATGTCTATGAATGCTCAGGCAATTAAAATTGAACCACCAGAATATTCAGCAGAGGACATTAAATGTGAAATTGAGGAGGAACTTGATGCCCTTGATGCTATTGTTAAATCTGAATCGTGTTCTGAGGATGATGAAACGAGTTTAGCAAAATTCATGACTTCTGAGGTGACAATTGAAGATGAAGTCAAACAGGAGTCTTTTGATTGTGACATTTGTAATCAATCATTTGCAGAATCCCATCATCTAACAAAGCATATGGTCGATCACATGCCTAACCATAGCAAAGAACGCCCTTTTAAATGCAAAATCTGTCATAAGACTTATACATTATCACAAGCATTGAAAAGACACATGAAAACACATTCTGAAGAAGGTCTCTTTAAATGTGATGAATGTGATAAGACATTCAGGCATTCAAGTAATCTAAAAAATCACATACTCATTCACAGTGGCGAGCGTCCCTATGAATGCAGTATATGCAAGAAGACATTTGCACAATCAAATAATCTGAGAAATCATATGGTCATTCATGGTGGTAAGCGTCCCCATAAGTGCAATATATGCAATAAGACATTCATGGGATTTAGCCATCTGAAAGTTCACATGCGCATTCACAGTGGTGAGCGTCCCCATGAGTGCAATATATGCAAGAAGACATTTAGACAATCAGGTAGTCTGAGAAATCACATGGTCATTCACAGTAATGAGCGCCCTCTCGAGTGCAGTATATGCAATAAGACATTTCAACGAACAAATAATCTGAAAAGTCACTTGTTGACTCATAGCAGTGGGCTACCTTATGAATGTTCAATATGCAATAAGACGTTCAGACTTTTATGCACTCTGAAAAGTCACATGCTGATGCACAACGGAGTATGTCCTTATGAATGCAATGCGTGCAATAAGACATTCACACAATTAAGGTATCTGAAAAATCACATGCTGGTACACAATGAAGTACGCCCTCATGAATGCAATGTATGCAATAAGGCATTCAAACGATCAAGTTCTTTGAAAGAACACTTGCGGATTCATAATGGAGAGCATCCTTATAAATGTGAAATTTGCAATAAGGGATTTGCTCAATCATGCAATTTAAAGAAACACATGGCTCTTCATAGTCGAGAGCGTGATGAAAATCTGTAAAATATATGTTAAATTATATTTAAATATTTGGAAATATGTTATAGAATACATTTTACATTTAATGGAATGTACAAAATAGTATGAAATATACAGTAAATATTAAATAATATGCATTTATTGATTGTTAAACCAGGACAATTGTTACAAATTGTATCATTTAATTTTTTTTAGATTTCTATTGGTTGGAAAATTTTGTTTTTGAAATAACAAATTTGTTATGGAACGATTTTTGAATGATTCAAATTGGATGTTCTAAAACATCCAATTTGAATCGTTCCATTTGCTTGTATTGATAAAACGATTGTTTTAGGGGAAAGCAAAAAAAACTAGTGGTGCTTGGCATTAAGGCAAATTTCTGGAAATTCCCCTACCAAAAACTAAATTGAAAAAAAAACTTTGAAACAACTTGATTTTTAATAAATTTTGAAATTTTTCCAAACCTTTGACTTTTTTGAAAAAAAATGATTTTTTATTTTGATTTTTTTCGAAAATTTTGAATATTTTCTTAATGCAATCGCGCTGCAAAGCTGATTTGGAATCGAATTATAAAAGCGCGTAAGCGCCGCGTAGTCATCTAAAATGTCAACATTGGTGCGGTATATAAATGTACAAAATTTGTACTTATTATAATCTTTATAAAAACATCTGATAATACGATGTACATATGTCTAATGTTCACTTTTTTACTTTTTCCTCCATATCTCAAAAGTCATTGGACCTGCCTTTCCAAAAAATTTGAACAGTTCTTCATTTCGTAAATACACGTAAAATGTTTTTTGAATTATTTAAATCAGATGCCATGTTATCTCAAAAACTTGGTTTCTATTTTCTGCACTCTTTGCTCTGTAAATCCAAAACGGCTAGACCTGCCTTTGCCAAAAACTAATCAGCACGTCTCCTTATCAGTAAAATCGAATATTTTTTTGAATTATTTAAATCGGTTAATCCGTGTTCGCGAAATACAATTTCTTAGGTATGCCAAAATGTTCAGAAACCTTTGAAACGTAAAGATATATTAAAATTTTCATTTTTGATTTTTTTGCGATTACGATAACTACCGGAATTTATTTTAATTTTTTGAATCACTAATTTTTTTTTGAGTATCGAAAATAATTGGGATTTTAATTTTAAGTCTAGCTAAAACCCTAGAGAGCATACTCATATACTTGAAATAAATAATTTTAACTTTGCAATTCAGTTTATATAATTCTTAAAAATAAAAGTAGAGGTCTTTTATTCTAATTATGGAAACATATATGGAGTCCAATTTATAGACTGTTATATTTTGTCTATAAAATACGAATGATCAAAGCAACAGTATCTATATTAATTTATTTAAAAACATTTAAAATCCCTCGAATATTCCACCAAAGCACTGGAAGTTCGAGCAATTTGCTTCGAGGCATTATGCCATTAATAAAATAAGTTGTATTTATATAATACATATATATTTAATAGAAGTGAATTATAAAAAATTAACGTGTAAAATGGATTACATATGAATGTGCTTGATTTGATTACATTTTTTAATTTATTTAATTTTGGCCAATTCTGCGATAACATTGCGTAGCCTTGGCAACGCTATCTTATCCTTCTTTCTTGGTACTAAAAACTTTGAAAAAGTTATCTATTTGCTTTACGTTTAGGCGTTTTACACATAAAACCGCATGTTATGAACGCGCATCACAAAGATGCTGTGGTAAACATAGAATAAGTGCGCTTTACCCTGTATGAATGTTTTCAGCGTATCACAGATGGCGCTAGTGCGCTTCAAATTTAGTGTTTGTTTTAAAACAGTTTCTCTAGATATAGTACACCTACTTAACCTAAAGTATCAATTTTATATATTGAAATATATATTTTTTTTGAATGAATAAAATGTTTATTTTTTTTATTATATATTTCACAACATATTTGTGATTTTTTGAAAATATATTTTATTCGAGTATATTTTGTACTTAGTCAAATTAATCATATTTATATAAATCTTATTTAGAATTGAACCTAAGGGTAAACTTACGTGCTACGGTTGGTGTCGACATCTATGATATGCTTACGCAATTAAAATTGATGTAATGTCAAAGCGGCCGTGTTTGCCATCTATTTATTAACTTCCCGTTAGGGTAGTTACAGTAATGGTCCGAAAATCGAAAATGAAAATTTTTGCATTCTCGACGTTTTGGCATACCTCAAAAAAAAATGGATGTGTGTGTGTTTTTTTATGTCCGCATTTTTTCATCCACGTTTTCGGGCCCACCGATCAACCGATTTGAATGGTTTAAAAAACATTAGATCCATATTGATAGGGAGATGTGCTGATTAGATTTTGGCAAAGGCAGGTCCAGCCGTTACGGAGATACGGAGCAAAAATGCAGAAAATACAAATCGAGTTTTTGAGAGAACCGAGTATCGGATTTGAATGATCTAAAAAACATTCAATTTGTAATGATTGGGAGAAGAGGTGATTAGTTTTTGGCAAAAACAGGTACCGCCATTTCGAAGATAAAGAGCTAAATGTGCAAAAAATGGCAGTTTTTGAGTGAATTAATCGTCCGATTTGAATGTTCTAAAAAACTTTCTGCTTGTATTGACAAAACAATTGCTTTTGAGGATAAAAAATTATATCTTTTTTTATTTTCCATAAAATATTTTTGTAATTTTGGATTAAAAATTAAAAAAATACCCAGGCTAAGAACAGTCTAAGTACCACTCTGGTACAAATGTTTACCCAAGTGCGTTTAGACTATTTATGTACTGGAGCACTTTTCCAATTTTGTGAAAACTATTCAAAAATGTGAAGATGCCGCCAAGCTAAGCACAGTATGAGTGAAAATGTCGCACAGAATTATTTGCAAATGCTTGGACTGTTTAGACTGTGACTATACTTTTTCAATTCTGTGTAAATTAGGCTATATAATCTATTTTTTTTTAAATTGAATTCGAAATGAAATAACGATTGTTAATGTTCTGGAGATGAATTGATTTATGATTTACATTTGATTTGCCCAGATGTAACAAGATAGCAAAAATAATGAAAGTTACAGTATTTGTAATAATATATTTGAAAACGTTTAAAATTTCTCGAATATTTCGTTACGGTACGGGAAGTTCCAACAATATTTGCCTTAAGGCACGATGCCATACACCACTAGTACTTGTTTATTTCTGGATGCTCTTATAAAATTCTTTCTGGGTTTGTTGTATGTGAAATATGTCTGATCGTGCATCATATATACCATTTTCTCTTTCTAGTACCAAGAAAGAAGGATAAGATATCGTTGTCATGAAAACACTGTGTTACCGAAGAATTGTTCCCTAAGTCTTCAAAATTGCAACTAATTTATTAACATTGCAAAACCTTTTACAATTTTGTGAATTACTCATCTACATGATCTAATTTTAAGGGTGATGACTTACATTTAATTACTTCTATTTTTTAACATGTGATTGGTGTACCGTCAGCATTCGTCTGTTTCTTCGGTTTACAAATTTTGGTCCTTCCATTCGATCCGTATACAATATTGCACGAGAATGTGAAATATCCACATGTGGATGATTTTGTGTAATATGTGTGCTCATAGGTTTTTCTCCTGACTTCCTTCTGTTGAGGCAAAGGTTGCTGTTTTTCTCGGTCGACGTTACCGGATTCCGATTTTGTTACCGAAACGTAACCACTCGGTTTGTATCCGTTTCTTAGGAGACCACGATTGCTCTGGCTGTTTAGGGATGATTGGGAACTTCTGGTTGCTAAAGTCGCTGTTTGAGCCTAAAATAAACCGAAAACATAAACCTTCAGGAAGTTTAAAAATGTCAATTTGGCATATGTTCACTATTTATTATATTTACTAGATGACCCGACAGACGTTGTCCTGTACCCATTTCTACAATTTTTTAATATAATATACTAATATTTACCGTTTACCTTAAAATAATAATTATTGTTTTACAAATTACGCTTCACGCCAAAATGCATATACATTTATAATATTAGCGATGTTAAATGTAGAACTGCTTTAAATAAAACGAGTCTCAATTCCCACACTATATTGGAAATTGAAGTCCTTTAAACAGTATAACATAAGCATAACCATAACATAACACTGGTACTTCATGTTGGATTAAATTAATTTAATTTTTTTTATTTAAGATATCTAAAATTGCATCTTAAACTTCTCCTAATCAATATCGTGAGGGCCGATTTGTGTATTCATCTCTACTTTCCCATTTGTTGTTATATAGTGAAATTTTTACGAAGTTTAAAAATATTGTGGAAAGATTAATAAAAGAAGCAGAGAAATTTATATAAAAAAAACTATATATACTATATAAACTATAAAATAAATATATATACTATATAAACTATATAAAGTGAAATTTTTACGAATTTTAAAAATATTGTGGAAAGATTAGTGAAAGATGCAAAGAAATTATATATTGAAAAAAAAAAACTGTATTAAAATTTTAATATCCGAATATCCGTGCGCTCGTATTTTCGCACGCATCGCGTTACAGGTAGGACCTGCCCTGATTAATACCTAATTTTATATTTAAGTGAATTAATTAATTTGTCTAATTGTTCATAAGTGTGTATCATTCAATCCGCCATACATATATGTACTGTATTTTAAATTATTTTTATTTCTGGCAAATCTCAGCTGCGTTTTGGCAATAATAATGTAGACATTTCATTTTCTTATTCATAATCATAAATTTATTATACATATTCTAATATTGTCTAGACTCGTAAGTAAATTGAAATTTTTGTATCTGCTTCTTATATTATTTTAATTTAGACACACCTCAGCTGCTTTTTGGCAATAATGTAGACGTTTCATTTTTCTTATCCATAATCATAAGTTCATATACATATTATAATATTGTCTAGATTCATATGTAAATTGAAATTTTTGCATTATGATAATTTTCATTGTTTTCAATGCAATCAATGACATGTCGTTTTTTACAATTTTTCCATTAATTGCACATACAATATTGCACATACATCCCCAGTACTTTATAATCACATACATCCTAGAAAATTTCCTTAACAAACTTCAGGAAGATTTATCAAAATCCGCATATAACCGTTTAGGTGTGTACAGTGAGTGAGTGCTTGTAATTTAATATGAGCTTTTATAATAGCAATAAAGCTCAAATTGAATCTATGTTTTAGTTAGAAAATGTTTGTATGAGAAAAAGAAAAGGGCTATTTTTAGGATTTTCCCAACAATTTTTTCAGTTTTTTCTCGCCGTAAGAACCATCCTTGAACATTTCAAAAATAATGGCCAAATTGGTCCAGGCGTTGTTGAGTTATGCGCTTACCAACACATTTTGCGATTCATTTTTATATATAAGAACATATCCATATGTTGAAAAACAGATATTTCTATATTACAAACCACACCTCAATTTTATCTTATCTTTAGCTTACTTGCCTGCGAATTTTTTCCCCCACTTGCAAAAGTATTTCCCAAACTGCCAGCTCCCGAAACCAGTCTTCCTCTAAATCCTTGCGGAACTACATATCCAGTATTACCAACTGTCTCTCCAGGTTGAAAAACTATTCCGCCACTCGGTACAACGGTTCCTCTCGGTTCTTGAACAACTCTTGCCCTTTGGCCCTCACCTAACACGATGTGCTGGGTCTGAGTCGGCGTTGATTGTGTTATTTTACTTCCACTTGGTGTCGGTTGAGGATTTGCTGATGGCGATGATCTGAATGAAGGAAGGGCTGATGATGGGGTTACTGAGGATCTGGATACTCGTCATCGTATTCGTCATCGTATTCGGAACTTTCATCAATGTCCACTGAAAGAAGAAAGTAATATTTTGTATTAGAATTGCGTCGACACTTTAATTTGATGGTAAATGAGAATGTTCTTACTTGTCTTCGGTGTGTAGTACTATCTCCAAATATTGGTTTTGCACTATGTTGAGTTTGCGAAAGCCCCGCTTCCATGCTTCCATGTGGTGTTCGTGTTGAACTCCCGACAGCACCTTTTTCTGCTCGTGTGTTTCCGCCGTAGTACTGCTTCCACCAATGGCAGATCTTTTATTTAATTCTTCTCCACTTCCAGCTTGAAACACTCCTTCAGGTTTTGGTAGCTTTCTGAATCCTTGAACACCGTCCTTGCTGCCCGAAGCGGCTTGCGCCGCGCCTGTATAACTAATGCCGTAATTGAATCGCCCTTGAATTTGACTCTGACTTTGTCCTGTACTACGTCCAGATTGTGTGTGAAGCGGTGCCTCCACCACGGAAAGGCGTCGATTGCACCTAAAAATATCATTTCTTAGCCTCGTTCATTCATTTTTTGTGGCAACTTTTCTTTTACCTGTTCTCCACTGGCGGATTCGTCAGGCTTAAATCCAATTTGAGCTTGTGACGATGTGCTTCCTGGTCCTTCGGCTTGAGCATCTGCCATGCCTCCTTTTCCGCCTGCTTGAACTAAAGTGTTGGTTCCGTGGTTCCAACCGGAAGATTGACCGCTTGCGGAAGTTGCACCAGTGTCTGCAGAAGTAGCAACTTGAGCTTGCGCGTTGCCAGAACCAGCATGACCCTGTGCACTGCTAGTAACTCCTTTTGCATTCCCCTGAATAGTGGAATTTCGTTATATTTATTGCAATTTGTTTAATCATGTTTTTATGAAAAATTTACAACACATATTACCTGTATTTGGGCACTTGCACCTCGGCTAACGTCAGCTATACTTGCTTGGCAGTAAAGGATCCAGTTCCGCTGTGCGTTCCGCTCACTTGTGTCTGAGCAGCCCCTCCGGTTGCAGACGCTGCTGCTTGTGTCTCACCTCCCTCTATACTGTGGACTGAAGTTTCAGCTTGAGAAACTTCATCAGAACCATCACCAATATCAAGGTGGCCTGTGATGTCTATTTGTTGTGAACTGATTACTTGCCGGGCCTCTTTGTACTAAATCACCTGGCTTTTGTCCTTGCTGACCTGGTATATAACCAGGGTATTGAGCCCCGGATTGTCCTGGTTGTTGACCTGGGTATTGAGAGCCGGGCTGTCCTCGGTAATTGAGCGCCGGGCTGTCCTGGGAATTGACCTGGGTATTGAACTCCGGGCTGCCCAGGTAATTGACCCGGGTATTGAACTCCGGGCTGCCCAGGTAATTGACCCGGGTATTGAACTCCGGGCTGCCCAGGTAATTGACCCGGGTATTGAACTCCGGGCTGCCCAGGTAATTGACCTGGGTATTGAACTCCGGGCTGCCCAGGTAATTGACCCGGGTATTGAACTCGGGCTGCCCAGGTAATTGACCCGGGTATTGAACGCCGGGCTGTCCTGGTAATTGGCCTGGGTATTGAGCGCCGGGTTGTCCCGGTAATTGACCTGGAAATTGTATGCCAAGTTGTCCTGGTATTTGAACTGGGTATTGAACTGCTGGTTGTCCTGGAATTTGAGCGCGGGTTGGCCCTGGTAATTGACCTGGATATGAAACGCCTGTTTGTTCTGGTAATTTACCTGGGTATTGAGCGCCAGGTTGTCCTGGATAATACCGTCCGGTTTGTCCAGGTAATTGACCTGGGTATTGAATTCCAGGTTGTCCTGGTAGTTGACCGGGATATTGTGTTGCAGTTTGTCCTGGTAGTTGACCGGGATATTGTGTTGCAGTTTGTCCTGGGTATTGAGCGCTGGTTTGACCTGGCAGTTGTGCAGGATATGTTACTTGTCCATTGTATTGCTTCTCATCTGTCCTGTAGTTTTTTCCGAGAATTGTACTCCTGATTGATCAACCACTTGTCCGGGATATTTTGCCGTTGGTAATCCAGATACATCTGGGGGATATTGTATTCCAGATTGACCCGCTGCATCTCCAGGTACTTTAGAAATACTAGTTTCTTTTACTTGACCTGGATACTGTGTTCCGGCTTGACCCGGTACTTGCCCTATGTATTGTGTTCCTGTTTGACCGGGAACTTGTCCTGGATATTGTGCTCCTGTTTGACCGGGTACTTGCCCAGGATACTGAGCTCCGGCTTGACCGGGAACTTGTCCTGGATATTGTGCTCCTGTTTGACTGGGAACTTGTCCTGGATATCGTGCTCCAGCTTGACCGGGAACTTGTCCTGGATATCGTGCTCCAGCTTGACCGGGTACTTGGCCTGGATATTGCGCTCCTGCTTGATCGGGCACTTGGCCTGGATATTGCGCTCCTGCTTGACCGGGCACTTGGCCTGGATATTGCGCTCCTGCTTGACCGGGCACTTGGCCTGGATATTGTGCTCCCGCTTGACCGGGTACTTGGCCTGGATATTGTGCTCCTGCTTGACCGGGTACTTGGCCTGGATATTGTGCTCCTGCTTGACTGGGTACTTGGACTGGATATTGTGCTCTTGCTTGACCGGTACTTGGCCTGGATATTGTGCTCCTGCTTGACCGGGTACTTGGCCTGGATATGTGCTCCTGCTTGACCGGGTACTTGACCTGGATATTGTGCTCCAGCTTGGCCAGGTACTTGGCCTGGATATTTTGTTTCTGCTTGACCGGTACTTGGCCTGGATATTGTGCTCCTGCTTGACCGGGTACTTGGCCTGGATATTGTGCTCCTGCTTGACCGGGAACTTGCCCAGGATACTGAGCTCCGCTTGATCGGGTACTTGGCCTGGATATTGTGCTCCTGCTTGACCGGGTACTTGGCCTGGATATGGTGCTCCTGCTTGACCGGGTACTTGCCCTGGATATTGTGCTCCCGCTTGACCGGGTACTTGGCCTGGGTATTGTGCTCCTGCTTGATCGGGTACTTGGCCTGGGTATTGTGCTCCCGCTTGACCGGGTACTTGGCCTGGGTACTGTGCTCCTGCTTGATCGGGTACTTGGCCTGGGTATTGTGCTCCTGCTTGACCGGGTACTTGGCCTGGGTATTGTGCTCCTGCTTGGCCGGGTACTTGGCCTGGATATTGTGTTCCTGCTTGACCGGGTACTCGGCCCGGATATTGGGTCCCTGCTTGACCGGGTACTTGGCCTGGATATTGTGCTCCGGCTTGACCGGGTACTTGCCCAGGATACTGAGCTCCGGTTTGACCGGGTACTTGGCCTGGATATCGTGCTCCTGCTTGACCGGGTACTTGTCCTGGATATTGTGCCCCTGCTTGACCGGGTACTTGCCCAGGATACTGAGCTTCCGCTTGGCCTGGATATTGTGCTCCTGCTTGACCGGGTACTTGACCTGGATATTGTGCTCCAGCTTGGCCGGGTACTTGACCTGGATATTGTGCTCCAGCTTGGCCGGGTACTTGGCCTGGATATTTTGTTCCTGCTTGACCGGGTACTTGGCCTGGATATCGTGCTTCTGCTTGACCGGGTACTTGGCCTGAATATTGTGCCCCTGCTTGACCGGGTAATTGCCCAGGATACTGAGCTCCGGCTTGGCCGGAAACTTGGCCTGGATATTGTGCTCCAGCTTGGCCGGGTACTTGGCCTGGATATTGTGCTCCAGCTTGGCCGGGTTCTTGGCCTGGATATTTTGTTTCTGCTTGACCGGGTACTTGGCCTGGATATTGTGCTCCTGCTTGACCGGGTACTTGCCCAGTACTGAGCTCCGGCTTGACCGGGGACTTGGCCTGGATATTGTGCTCCTGCTTGACCGGGTACTTGGCCTGGATATTGTGCCCCTGCTTGACCGGGTACTTGACCTGGATATTGTGCTCCAGCTTGGCCGGGTACTTGGCCTGGATATTTGTTTCTGCTTGACCGGGTACTTGGCCTGGATATTGTGACCCTGCTTGACCGGGTACTTGCCCAGGATACTGAGCTCCGGCTTGACCGGGGACTTGGCCTGGATATTGTGCTCCTGCTTGACCGGGTACTTGGCCTGGATATTGTGCCCCTGCTTGACCGGGTACTTGGCCTGGATATTGTGCTCCAGCTTGACCGGGAACTTGTCCTGGGTATTGCGCTCCTGCTTGACCGGGAACTTGTCCTGGGTATTGCGCTCCTGCTTGACCGGGAACATGTCCTGGATATTGTGCGCTCCTGCTTGACCGGGTACCTGGCCTGGATATTGTGCTCCGGCTTGACCGGGAACTTGCCCAGGATACTGAGCTCCGGCTTGACCGGGTACTTGTCCAGGATACTGAGCTCCGGCTTGACCGGAAACTTGTCCTGAATATTGTGCTCCTGCTTGACCGGGTATTTGGCCTGGATATTGTGCACCTGGTTGACCGGGAACTTGGCCTGGATATTGCGCTCCTGCTTGACCGGGTACTTGGCCTGGATATTGTGCTCCCGCTTGACCTGGATACTGTGCACCAGGTTGTCCAGCAAATTGTTGACCGGTTGGGCCTACACCTCCCACCTGCCCTGGATATTGAGCTCCGGGTTGAGCTCCTACTTGCCCTGGTAATTGTATTCCTGCTTGTCCGGGATATTGCCAACCAGGCTGCCCTGGTATCTGACCAGGCGGTTTTGTAATGCCAGGTTGCCCACTAACTTGTCCAGGTAATAACGCACCGGGTTGACGGGGTACTTGTCCTGGGCTGGGTACTTGACCAGGACGTAATGGCGTTCCTGGCGCGGTTCCGGAAGGACGTCCTGGAACAAACGTAGTGGGCGGTTGCCATCCATCTGGACCTGTTAGACGATCCGGTAGTCCCGGTCTTGGCCTAGTATCTTTATCGACACTCACTCCTGGTGGTGCTGCATGGCCTGGTCTGCCATATTGCGCTAGTACTTCCGTGCCTGGTAGTCCTACATATGACATGAAATAATTTTATAACTAAACAACTTTCATATTTTATTTTGTTAAAATATAAAGTAGATGAATAAAAATAAAGTTTTATATAATATTGCAAATACCTGGATATGCTCCAGGGTAACCTCTGTAGTAGCCATCGTACCCAACACAGTCTGCGCAGCTTCCCGCACTAGATTGACTTTGAGCTTGTCCCATGCCATTACTTCCAGCTATTGAGGAAATACAATTTGGCTAATTTTAGCAATTCGTATATTTGAAATCTGTGGCTCTTATTATATATATATATATATATAATATATATATATATATATATATATATATATATATA